CATATGCAAAAAATCAAATGTGTCAGAGACTGGTGAGTTGTCACGTAGAAAGTAGGACCTCCTCCTGGGATCCTTTGATTAAAGGATATATATTGATGGGATAGCAGTACCTCGAGGGGTTCCAGAACAATTTAAAGCTAGGAATCAGATCGCAGCTGGGTTTGAATCAAGTATTTTCTGGTGGTCAACAGTTAATAAAAACGTAGACTGGATGAATTATGTTTACTATAACCAGCAAAGATTTATAAACCACACTCGTGATGCAATAAAGGGATTAGCTGAGCAGACAGCGGCAACTAGCTTAATGACATGGCAGAATAGAATAGCTTTAGATATGCTTTTGGCTGAGCGGGACGGAGTTTGTGTTCTGTTTGGATCTATGTGCTGTACTTTCATCCCCAACAATACAGCACCGGACGGGTCCGTGACCAAAGCGCTTCAGGGACTCACCACGCTGGCGAACGAACTGGCTGAGAACTCTGGTATTGATAGCTCCCTAAATGGTTGGTTTGATAACATATTTGGTAAATGGAAAACTATTGTTGTAACTATTCTGGGTGAAGTTATAGCTTCTATGGGTATACTTATTCTTTGTGGATGTTGTCTTATTCCCTGTGTCCGAGGGTTGGTGAGCAAGGCGGTTTCCCAACAGATGGTGAGATACGGCCCAATCCCGGACTCCGACCTAAGGAATGAAGGATATGACCTACCAGGCTTGGTGGAGGACGACGACGATCCAGATAGTTTGAGACTGGATGTTTTCCTAGAACTATAAATCTCTAGTTTAAAAGTTATTGTAATGATCTTTTGTGTATTAACGTCTCGTTTTAAGTATGATACCATTGCTAAAAAGTAACGTTACGCTTTTAATCATGGGGTAACCCTGATGAACCTGTAATGTTTTTATATGCAAACCAACTTATATACTTCAATGAGTGTGATTCATTTCTATAACAACATATATTTTGTATGTGTGTAATATTTAGTCAAAGGGTGGAATTGATAGATTAATTATTAATGACTAATTATTACACCCTGAAACTGTGTATAATGTGTTAGAAATGTGTGAGTGTAGGACCAATAAAGGCTATGGCATTGAGCCACTATTTAGCAATGTGAGTAAGAGTTAGGCCAGACAACAAAGACAACTGAGAAACTAAGATAAAGAGGCCTCCCAATTTAGGGAGGGGAGAAACTGTTATGAAAACATGGTGCAGAATATTGTGAGAACGGCAATAACTGAGTAAAGCAGGGAGTAGGATATGTGTGTGTGTGTGTGTATGTATGTGTGTATGTATATGTGTGTGTGAACTGAAGGTCAGTAGAGCAGTTTTAGAGTGGAAAACTACAGCCCGCCTACAGAGGGGAGGGATTTCTTTTTGTATGACGTATGAGTATAAAAGATGGACTCTGAAATTGTGATGGCAGAATTCTCAATGAATAAATAGCTCTGACTATGCAGACCGGGACTCTGGCCGTTACTTAAATCCCAAAAGACTTACAACCTTTTGGGAGACGCACAGAGACACTAAAATAGTTTGTTAAATAATTCACATAACAGTGACGCATCAGGAACTCTAGAGTTCTGAGAAACCAGGGGGAGGGAAAAGGGACAGAAAGAGAGGGAAGTGGGTTTAATTCTGTAGTGTTTGAAAACAGTTGAAACTATTGGAGAAAAACTACACTTGGCAAAATGTACAGTCCCCCTAATTACAAACAGATGGTTCCAGCCATGTAATATAAGGAAACACAAAGCAAACATTTACTCTTTCTCTATATAAAGTAAGAGAGACGGCTGAATAGTTGGAGGTTTACCTGTAATGGGGAGCGGGTAACTCCCGTTCAATCTCTTTAATGCTGGGTCTTGTTCAGTAGGTATGAAATGAGAGAAAACATTTTGACATTATGAACATCTACTACCTGAACTTGTATCTGAATTACTATAAAGTAATGTCCCACTGTGCACAAACTGGTTGAATTAATGTTGTTTCAACGTAATTTGTCAACGTATTGTGACGTGGAATCTACGTGGAAAATACATTGGATTTGAAAAAGGTAATCAACTGTTGTTTTAAGGGTGGAATTTCAACAGGATTATGTTATCATGGTAACCAAATTTTAACATAGACAAACCTTGTATAAAATATGTTGAATCTGTATCTTTAAAAAAACGTCAGATCTTTAACGTTATATCCACAATGTCTTCCACGAATGTGCTATTGTGAAAATGATCTCCACTGAAAAACTAAATAGATTCACTGTTGCTATCGAACTCATTCCAAAGAGTAGGTTTAACAGAGTAAATTAAATGTGACCATACTTTATCCCTCATATCATCAATGACGCTATTTAGGCCTATATAGCATTTCTAAAGTCATCAACATCTATTGTTTCAATTAAACCCAGAATTCCACATAAAATTGACAATACAATAGGCCTAGGGTTTCAAGCTTTCGTTGATTTGAAATGTAATTACATTTAGTGATATTGAATTGTGCTTGGTTGTCAAAATGTTATTTAAAGTGTATTTAAAGTTTTTGATTTAGTCCTATTCTTTAGCTTAGATTTTTGGTTGAGATGGAGACTTGAATCCAACATATCAATTATTAATTTGTAGACAACCTGGAATTAAAGCCAGACTTAAGTGTGGCAACTATGTGTGTGTTCAATCTGTGTTTGAAATTCACTGCTCGACTGTATGTGTGGGGTACAGAGATGAGGTAGTCATAAAGAAATCATGTTAAACATTATTATTGCACACAGAGTGAGTCAATGCAACTCATTAAGCACATTTTTACTCCTGAACTTATTTTGGCTTGCCCTAACAAAGGGATTGAATAGTTATTGACTGAAGACATTTCAGCTTTTCATTTTAAATTAATTTATATTCCACTTTGACATTATGGGGTATTGTGTGTAGGCTAGTGACAAAAAAAACCTATATTTAATCAATTTTACATTCAGGCTGTAACAACAAAATGTAAAAAAAAGTAAAGGGTTGTGAATACTTTCTGAAGGCACTGTACATGTAACATGTATGCTGTTGAACTGAAACATTTTACTGCCTTCCAAAGTAACTTAAAAATATAACTCATTAAATAAAGTTGAGTTATTAACCTGACTTGATACGAGACTGTCCCTTGTGACAAGAAATGATGTCCCAGATAGACAAACACTAACTAGACAACACATACTAAATGGCTCCTATATACACTGCTCAAAAAAATAAAGGGAACACAAAAATAACACATCCTAGATCTGAATGAATGAAATAATCTTATAAAATACTTTTTTCTTTACATAGTTGAATGTGCTGACAACAAAATCACACAAAAAGTATCAATGGAAATCAAATGTATCAACCCATGGAGGTCTGGATTTGGAGTCACCCTCAAAATTAAAGTGGAAAACCACACTACAGGCTGATCCAACTTTGATGTAATGTCCTTAAAACAAGTCAAAATGAGGCTCAGTAGTGTGTGTGGCCTCCACGTGCCTGTATGACCTCCCTACAATGCCTGGGCATGCTCCTGATGATGTGGCGGATGGTCTCCTGAGGGATCTCCTCCCAGACCTGGACTAAAGCATCTGCCAACTCCTGGACAGTCTGTGGTGCAACGTGGCGTTGGTGGATGGAGCGAGACATGATGTCCCAGATGTGCTCAATTGGATTCAGGTCTGGGGAACGGGCGGGCCAGTCCATAGCATCAATGCCTTCCTCTTGCAGGAACTGCTGACACACTCCAGCCACATGAGGTCTAGCATTGTCTTGCATTAGGAGGAACCCAGAGCCAACCGCACCAGCATATGGTCTCACAAGGGGTCTGAGGATCTCATCTCGGTACCTAATGGCAGTCAGGCTACCTCTGGCGAGCACATGGAGGGCTGTGCGGCCACCCCACACCATGACTGACCCATCGCCAAACCGGTCATGCTGGAGGATGTTGCAGGCAGCAGAACGTTCTCCACGGCATCTCCAGACTCTGTCACGTGCTCAGTGTGAACCTGCTTTCATCTGTGAAGAGCACAGGGCGCCAGTGGCGAATTTGCCAATCTTGGTGTTCTCTGGCAAATGCCAAACGTCCTGCACGGTGTTGGGCTGTAAGCACAACCCCCACCTGTGGACGTCGGGCCCTCATACCACCCTCATGGAGTCTGTTTCTGACCGTTTGAGCAGACACATGCACATTTGTGGAAAGGCGCAAAGGCGGAGGTAGCAGTCCTGCTGCTGGGTTGTTGCCCTCCTACGGCCTCCTCCATGTCTCCTGATGTACTGGCCTGTCTCCTGGTAGCGCCTCCATGCTCTGGACACTACGCTGACAGACACAGCAAACCTTCTTGCCACAGCTCGCATTGATGTGCTATCCTGGATGAGCTGCACTACCTGAGCCACTTGTGTGGGTTGTAGACTCCGTCTCATGCTACCACTAGAGTGAAAGCACCGCCAGCATTCAAAAGTGACCAAAATATCAGCCAGTAAGCATATGAACTGAGAAGTGGTCTGTGGTCACCACCTGCAAAACCAGTCCTTTATTGGGGGTGTCTTGCTAATTGCCTATAATTTCCACCTGTTGTCTATTCCATTTGCACAACAGCATGTGAAATGTATTGTCAATCAGTGTTGCTTCCTAAGTGGACAGTTTGATTTCACAGAAGTGTGATTGACTTGGAGTTACATTGTGTTGTTTAAGTGTTCCCTTTATTTTTTTGAGCAGTGTATCTTCTTTATCTAAGGGCGCTGATTGACAATTTCTTTAAATACATTTGATTAAATAACATGTTTATGATTGATGTTAACAGTTGTAAATACATAGGTTGTTCAAATGAAACTGCGGAGCCGTCAACAGTCAAACCATTTCACAAATCAATTACGAGGAAAAGCTTGTCAAAATTTCTCAAAATACCTTCTGTACCACATTAGCACATAGAAAGTGTTAGACAAACTATGCAATTATGTTTTAGTTGTTCCATCTCGTCTGAGACAATATTAAACTTGTGTTTGGATCCCCAGGGTATGTGGGTACCACATATTGAGACACCGGACTCTCTCCTATGTGAGTTCGCTGATGTGACTTCATACTGGAGCGCTGGGTGAAGCATTTCCCACATTGTGTGCACTTGTAGGGCTTCTCCCCGCTGTGGACCACAGCATGTCTGATCAGGTTGTACTGCTTGGGGAAACTCCTGCCACACTGTTCGCAGGTGTATGGTTTTTCTCCGGTGGTGCCGCCCGACCTCCACTGAGTCCTCATTCTCTTCACCATGTTAAAACTACTGCGACTCAGGCTGTATCCAGAGAAGGTGGAGGTGGTGGCCATGTTTGACCCTGTCATGCACTCACTCAATCTCACTGTTGCTTCTGAAGGCCTGTGCTGATGCTGCCTTGACTGTAGAGATAAATTATTTCCCTCATTATTTGAGTTCAGTCTCTCGCTGCTCTGTCCCTCTGGCATCTGTTGTCTAGTTTCATCAGCCAATGTCCTGACATGTCTTTTCATGTGTGCTGCTGCATTGAACATGTTAGCATGTGGTTTCCCTATAGAAGAGTCAAGCGATGGCCCTACATCATCTGTCATAGTAGGAACGGATGGCAGCTCACTATGAGATGGGAAAATTGAGATATTCTGAGAGTACTCCTCTATGGCATGAAAGGAGAAATCTGGGTGTCCATCAGGGTCAGTGTCTCTGCCTGGATCCACAGAGGTCCACAGCTGCCCATCAGTTTCATCCATGACAAACTGGTCAGGTCCTGCCAGGGCTGTGGTCTGATCCAGCTCCTCCTTTTTCTCATCCTTCACCATCACAAGCTCTAGTGAGTCCTCGTCCTCGGCTGGCCGGTGCTGCTCTGTGCTGAACACCTCTGTAGACGTGAGCCGGGGTGTGCCTGGTTCCTCTGGACCATCAGAATTGGGGCAATGTTCCACTGAGTCTTCAGGAGATATGTTGGGTTGTGTGATGAAGTCCTCATCACAGTGCCGTTGCTCAAAGGATGGTGGTTGCCCAGGCTTGGAACCAGACTCTGAGGATAAACATTACAAAAGAACCTTAACAGTTGCAAAACATGTGTGCTTTAGAATTGACTGCGTGTGTACATGCGCTCCATATGCCAGCCCAGAACATAAAACACCCAACACCAATGTAGCAACTTGGAACGTGCATACCACCACACCCACAGTCTTTCACAGACAGAGCAGTATCCCTTATGATCGCACTCACCCTCTCCAGTGATCCTGAGCTCTTCCTGAGGGTCCGTTTTCCACACGTCCTCTGATGTCTCCTCATCTTTGATCAGTATGGGTTCAGTCTCCGTTCTCTGCTCCACATCTGTAGGCTGTAACAGGGGACTGAGGTTATTATTACTCTGGACACACACCATATCTAACCCTTTTCATACTCATGAATCACACAAAAGCGGTAAATTCTCCTGATATTCCAATAACAGAATTGATCCAAGAGGTCAGGTCTCTGTAATTGTAAAAGGTGATGTATCACACCTGGGGTTGAGAGTCCTCTTCAACAGCCATATCTCTGTTTCTCAACTGTGAGCTACTCCTCTGCTTGTTCAAAACAATCTTGACTGGATATGAAGATCTCTCTGATGCCATGGGGTAAAGAACTGGAAAATAATTGTATTCAGTCAAATATTATGGGTTTTCACACATTTGGGTTTTGCTTATACAATCAATTTATTATTAATAATTGCCAGAAGATTCCGACCCTACCGTTACGCTTGTTTACACCGAGCTGCACTGGGGTCGGACAGCATGACTGTGTAGATCAAGACACTGCGGTGCCTGTACGAGATATGGCTCGGAAAACGTACCTCAATCCAGGAATGAGAATGTTTTATTTATTTATTTTTATTTAACCTTTATTTAACCAGGTAAGTCTGGTTTAGGGCTGACCCCATTTATTCAACTGGTCGATCGTTTGGTCGATAGGCTGTTGTTCGACCGAGACTTCTTTAGTCGAGCAGTAGCAACAAAAAAGAACATGGTTTACATGACACCAGAGCATATGAGCGGAGTGGAGCGGTGAGAATCTCAGCTCCTCGCTCACGGAGCTGTTCACCCCTCCGCTCCCCCCGCTCAAAGCCACATCAGGCCAGTCCGCTCATTATCGCTCAGCGCTCAACGCAGTTTGCATCGCGCTCCACTCAAATCGCCCCCCGCTCACTCCAAAAAAGGAACAAAATCTGCATGTATTTCACTTTTAGCTTAATCCACAGCCTTACTTTATCTCCCCGAATTTGTTGCATACAGACTCATCTCGGATTATCCATTCTGTCTTGAAACGGGGATCTAACACTGACGCTAAAATGAGATGTTAATCAGTATAGTATATTCCATAGCGAATTGACACGTTGTTTGCCAATGTTTCTGCAAAAGCAGCGATGCCCATTGGAAGTGCAGCGTGAGTGTAATCGGTGAGCAGGGATTTGATTTCTGTGACAGCAGGCAGGATCATCCCCAGGTTCCCCAGCTCCTTCTGCATTTTGTCTGTGAGGTCTGCTAGTGGTGTCAGCACAATGACAAGGTGCGTCAGCTGCCGTACTTGATTCAGGGTGATGTTAGCAACATTAGACTTGAGTTTGTTTTACCATAACGGGTCTTTTTGGAACAACCGGATGAACGACTGAATCATCCGCAGCTGGCTGCTCCATCGAATGGCGCAGGCATTTGTGGGGCGGACACCTAATTGGTCGGTTTCCTCTGTGCTCTTGCGTACACTTTTCACCAGGTGCCCGACTTTCACTAACAGCCTATTAATGTTGTCGTGCTTGTTAACAGCGTTTTTGATCGCCAGCTGAAGCATGTGAATGGGGCATCTCAGATGTAAATTTGACAAAGTAAAGTACTAATTTATCATAGTTTCTTGGGGGGGTGTAGCCCGGTTGAGCTACGCTGGCGAAGTGTTGCATCCCTTCGCGTTCTCCTTTACTCAGCGGTTCATAGTCCATGAAAATCATTTTTAAAAATGCTACATCCAGCTCTCTTTTTCTCTCCCTTGTTATGGTTGGGCCTTTACGTGCAGTGAATAAAGTTTTGAATTCCTCAACCCTTTTCTCTTGTTGCTGCTGCTGCTCCTCTCGCTCTATAAAATACAAATTCATGGACGACACAAATTAAATTAAACAGATGGATTCTGGGTCAGGCTTGAGCATGCTTCAGACTCGTGGTGTGAGCGAGCGAAATTGGAGCGGGACATAGGGCGACGCTCCGTCCTTTTAAAAATGCCGCTCTGCGCTCTGTCAAAATCCGTCCGCTCACGCTCCACGCTCGCTCCCGCTCCACTCCGCTCATATGCTCTGCAAGACACCGGTCTGATTTGTGCCTGTCTGAGTGGACTAATCCATTGTGGAGACCGTGGGGATGGCACAGTCCATCACCCTAAGGCGTGCTACTGAAATTGCATATGGTTATATTAAATAAGAACAATGGTGCAACACTAATCAAAATAATATAATTTTATAACAAATGCGCTTTCTCCCATGTTGGATAGAGGTCACTGTCCGCGGTTCTGAATCATCAGTGCGCTGTTAAAATTTGCTTCATAAGTAGCGTGTGACCGATCCTAGGGTGGCAACACATACATTCTAAGAGATTTCAATGGGTTGTTTTATACTGTTCAATTCAGCTTCAACCAAAAATAATGTTATTAATGTTCATATATTTCTGAATTTCCTGCACTCATTTGAGATCATTTCCACACTGCCACATAGGGCTGCATGATATGGGCAAACAATCTAGGCCTTATTTTTAACCAAATGTTGCAATTGCAATTTGACTTGTGATTTAGAGCAAAACACTTGCGTGAACTGTTGGAATCATGGAAATAGAATGATTATTCAAATTCTATAGTTAGAATATCATAATGGACACTTTGAATACAGTGTTTGACAACGAATGAAAATGCCAGGGAGGAGTTATTGTGACAGGGTAGGAACCGAAGTGCTGAAAAGTGTTTCCTATGGGACCCTATAATCTTTGGCTACATTGAATGTTTTCTCTTAGCTACTTCATGTAGCTAACATATTCTTGCTTTGCGTATTCCTCTTTGATTTAGAAGATACTGTTCCACAAAAAAACATGCAAATGTATAGTACCAGTCAAAGGTTTGGACACACCTACTCATTCCAGCGTTTTGCTTTATTTGTACTATTTTCTACATTGTAGAATAATAGTGAAGACATCAAAACTATGAAATAACACATATGGCATCATCTAGTAACCAAAATAAAAGTGTTATACAAATCAAAATATAGATTTTATATTTGAGATTCTTCAAAGTAGCCATCCTTTGCCTTTGACAGCTTTGCACACTCTTGGCATTCTCTCAACCAGCTTCATGAGGTAGTCACCTAGAATGCATTTCAATTAACAGGTGTGCCTTCTTAAAAGTTAATTTGTGGAATTTCTTTCCTACTTAATGCATTTGAGCCAATCAGTTGTGTTGTGAAAAGGTAGGATTGGTATACAGAAGATAGCCCTATTTGGTAAAAGACCAAGTCCATATTATGGCAAGAACAGCTCAAACAAGCAAAGAGAAATGACAGTCCATCATTACTTTAAGACATGAAGGTCAGTCAAGCCGGAAAATGTCAAGAACTTTTAAAGTTTATTCAAGTGCAGTCGCAAAAACCCTCAAGCGCTATGATGAAACTGGCTCTCATGAGGACCGCCACAGGAAAGGAAGACCCAGAGACCCAACACAACTTTTGACTGGTACTGTATATCTACAGAAATAAGACAGATCCTGCTTGTGTTGAGTGCGTTTAATAGCCTACTGATTCCGTGAGCACCAAGCCTCACGCAACCCCAACATGACATAAACAATTTCACAAATTCTGCTGTTTTTAATCTTTGCTAGATGTAAAATTGCGCGACTGAGATATCTTCGGCAAAAACGTCAATATTAATGACAGATTTGTTGAGTTATTTTAGATTAATTGACTATTTTGAGGAAGTGTATACTGGCTACGGCGTCTCAAAATGGACAAACAGTACTATTGCCACTTCCTCGTTTTTCAAGCGAAGGTCTTTTAAGGGAGTATGCGAGCACACTCGTTCGGTTCGGCTAGACGCCAGCCGAACTGAAGCATAAATGTATCATGAATAACACAGCTACTACCTTTTTTCCTGACTTGTCCTCGTGTCTTCTTCAGCTCGCTCTCCATCATTTGACACTTCCTTTTCAGTACATCAATATCTCGCTGGCTTTGGGTCATTTCCAAACGTATAACTGCACAGCTATCATCAACACGTTTATTAATTTCTGCTAAAGCTGCTTTAGCTAATACCTCCATAATGGATACCATCTGCGCCTGAAAATTGCAGCTGGCCATCTTGTACAGCCCAAATTACAGATTTGTATTCTCTGTGTGAAGTAAAGTCTACAATTTCCAAGCGAATGCACACTAATAAATCCGTAGATATTGATAAATGACAACAACGTAAGTGGTATATGCGTGCGCGTTCTTTCTTCTTCTTCGATGAGGTTTAACGGCGGTTGGCATCCAATATGTTGCATTACCGCCACCTACTAGACTGGAGTACAACTCCCTTATATTTTACATTTAACATTTTAGTCATTTAGCAGACGCTCTTATTCAGAGAGACTTACAGTTAGTGAGTGCATACATTTTTCATACTTGCCTGAAAAATAAAATAAAAATAAAATAAAGAAATACCCTACCATCTAACACTACACACAAACTCAAAAAAGTATAATAAAATAAAATTAACACCACCCTACTCCACTATTTAAATCTATTTATTCCTACCTCATGCCCTCAACCTGAAAGGATGGGACATCACCACTTAACACACCCTGTAACTCTTCTGATGTCAAGTCTCGCACACCCAAATACCTCTCTGCAGCTGCCACCACAACCTCAATTTTCTTTGACTTACATTCCATCCCTTCAGTACAATTAATAACCATTGCTATATATGCTAAAAATCCAATCGTATCCCTCTACTACTCTCACCACTCAGGAAGGTGACCAAGAACACGATGGTCACTCTGGCAGAGCTCCAGAGTTCCTCTGTGGAGATGGGAGAACCTTCCAGTAGGACAACGACCCTAAGCACACAGCCAAGACAACGCAGTGACTTCGGGACAAGTCTCTGAATGTCCTTGAGTGGCCCAGCCAGAGCCCGGATTTGAACCCGATCAAACATCTCTAGAGAGACCTGAAAATAGCTGTGTAGACGCTCCCCATCCAACCTTACAGCGCTTGAGAGGATCTGCAGAGAAGAATGGGAGAAACTCCCAAAATACAGGTGTGCCAAGCTTGTAGGGTCATACCCAAGAAGATTAGAGGCTTTAATCGCTGCCAATGGTGCTTCAACAAAGTACTGAGTAAAGGGTCTGAATACTTATGTAAATGTGATTTAAAAAAGATATCTATACATTTGCTAACATTTATAAAAACCTGTTTTAGGTTTGTCATAATGGGGTATTGTGTGTAGATTGATGAGGGGGGAGACTATTAATTTTAGAATAAGGCTGAAATGTAACAAAATGTGGAAAAAGTCAAGGGGTCTGAATACTTATCGAATGCACTGTATGCCTATCTCTCAAATCAATATGGATATGAGGGCTTTGTCGGAGTCCTATTTAGAAATTAGGTAGCCTAGGTCTCTAGTGCCGCATTCAAAACAACTGGGAACTCGGAAACTCTGACTTCTGACTTCAGTGCATTCAAGACAACGGACCTCGGAAAAAACGAGCTCTGAAGGAGAAAAATAGGTTTGAACTGTCATCCAATTCCGACCTGAAATCACTGTCATGAATTAACCTAGTTTTTTTTCTCCGAGTTCCCAGTTTAGGATACCACACGTTTACCTGTTTAAACAGAGGCATTCACTGTCGCCATGCACTCCTTAGGCTATGCTATCAATTTCTGTGGCGTGCATGATGTTTTATGGTTAAAAAAACAACGGTCCAGATTAGGGTATAGGCCTATAAAGCGATCTAGGCTATAACAATAATTAGGCCTAACTCCATAATGCTTTCTGCATAGTCGACTAGCCTATCGAAGGTGTTGCTCAGCCTCAACATGGGTTCATGGTAGGCCTATCAAAACATTGACTTTTAAATGTAAAACAAGTTTCATTATCTCACGGAAAATATTGTTGATTTAAATGCTCCAGAATGTAGAATATTAGTGGTATGGCTAGGATATGCCTATAGCAAAATACAAAACATTTAGAAGCGGTATTGGTCTATCCATAGACCAAACAGTTTAACAGGTAAACAAATATTTTATTTTCAGTAGAATCGCATTGAAATCAGGCTATTCATTTCAGTGCAGTTGCCTTCTTATGTATAACCTATAGCCTAAACGGAACCGAAAACTCCCCAACCTATTTTGATCACAGATCATGACAAAGATGAAAATGTATTTAGCCCACTATCGCCTACAGATTTGATGCACACGAAGGCCTATATTTAATCTGGATTTGACAAACAACAGCCTGGCAAAGATCATTTGACTTCTCCCTGCGCCATATGTGTTTCCAATTGGGCTAAATGTAGTCCTATGAATATGGTCTGAATGTTTTCCTATTAATTTGCATAGGTTAACCATTGTGATTAATGATGTTTACTATCTTCTGCTTTTTCTGAATAAACAGGTAGCCTATCATAAATACAAATAGAATTGGTTTAGATATGCTCCGCATGTGCACTGCGAGAAAATGAGTGAAATTGCATTATTTTCGAATTTGCATTGGTTTTCAATAGGCTAAATGACTAGGCCTACTGCTTAGCACCTCACCACGTTTTTTTGAGAGCAGGCCTATTCCTTGTAAAGATTGTGTGTAGGTTATTGAGTATAATCTAAAATGTTCCAAATAATGTTCTGGCCTTGACTAGAATACAATATATACATATGAAATGGGTAAAGCAGTATTTAACCATTATTAAAGTGATCAGTGTTCGATGTCTATATACATAGGGCTGAAGCCTCTAAGGTGCAGGTTTGAGTAACCGGGTGGTAGCCGCGGCTAGTGACAGTGACTAAGTTCAGGGCAGGGTACTGGGTGGAGGCCGGCTAGTGATGGCTATTTAACAGTCTGATGGCCTTGAGATAGAAGCTGTTTTTCAGTCTCTCGGTCCCAGCTTTGATGCACCTGTACTGACTTCGCCTTCTGGATGATAGCGGGGTGAACAGGCCGTGGCTCGGGTGGCTTAGGTCAACACTGTTTTTATTCACCCGTTTTACAAACCATAAAACGCACTTCTCCCTACTTCCACTTGCGCCGCAGCTGAAATGAATGAGTAGCCAAGTGTATTGATAAGCCTGCGTTTTTATTATTAGCAGCTCATCGTGTCTATTTTAATATTGAATAATATTTAACTTACTCTGGTCATAGGAACAACATGAATTTGTGCATGAGGCAGATGCGGATGCTGTGCCACTCAAGTTTCGCCATCAGGTGGAATAAGGTGTCCCCTCTCTCTGGTCAGTCTCACCAGAGAAATGTAAAAGGGGAGAGCAGGGACAGTGAGAGGCGGACCCTCTGCTGCTCTCTCCCTCCCTCCGCTCAGACTAATGCGGTGTTCAAAACAACTGGGAACTCGGAAATCTCCGACTTCAGTGCGTTCAGACAACTGGGAACTTGAGGAAAAAAAGAGCTCAGACTGGGAAAAATTGTTTTGAACGGTCATCCAACTCATAATTCCAAGTCGGAAACTCAGGGATCTTTAGAGCTCCGACCTGAAGATCACGGACATGAGTTGACCTTGTTTTTTCCCCTGAGTTACCAGTTGTCTTGTAAGCACCATGACCATCCATCCATCAGATGCAGGTAGGCTACTCTCAGTCCAGTAAAATGAAAAAGCAAATTATTATGTTTATTATTTGGGGTTGTAATTCTACCCCTTTTTCTACCCAATTTCCGTGATATCCAATTGGTAGTTACGATCTTGTCTCATCGCTGCAACTCCCCAACGGGCTCAGGAGAGGCGAAGGTCGAGTCATGCGTCCTCCGAAACATGACCCACCAAGCCGCGCTGCTTCTTAACACCTGCTCGCTTAACACCAGCCGCACCAATGTGTCGGAGGAAACACCGCTCAACTGACTACCGAGGTCAGCTTGCAGGCGCCCTGCCTGCCACATGGAGTTGTAAGCACGCGATGAGCCAAGGAAAGCCCCCCGGCCAAACCCTCCCCTAACCCGGACGATGCTGGGCCAATTGTGCGCCGCCCTATGGGCCTGGTTACGGCCAGCTGTGACACTGCCGAATCCCAGGCAGTAGTGATGCCTCAACACTGCGATGTAGTGTCTTAGACTGCTGCGCCATTTTGCTAATTATTTAAATTGATGCTCAGCAAGTGCTACACCAAATGACCTATATATTTTTTTAATCAAAGCTCGAGTTTTGAAATAGCCTATATGGTCTGAGAATAACAATATTGGCCAGCCAAGCATATAGCCAATATACTGTGATAATGTATTAGACTTACTGCACAAACCTCAATCCTACAGAACATTTATTAAATCATGTTTAAAAAATAATAATCTGAGTGGTAGGTCTCAGCTTGCTTTTTGACTGAGAAAGTGATTGTGACTCAGAAAAGGTTGGTGACCACTGGGTTAGATGATGATACACAAAAAAATGCTGGGTTGTTTTTATGACACCATTGCTGGGTTGCAGGTTTTTTTGGTCATTTTTGGTTGTGGCAGGATAATTGACCAAATGTTGGGTTATTGAGATATACCCAGCCAGTGTGGTGAATTCTGACAACCCAGCATTGGGTCAATAATCCCGCCATACACCACACCGCGTGGGAGCGAATGCAGCGATAGTGTTCAGACCATTGGTCAGCTTTTTCAACAGACAGAGGGACAAGGCATCGTTGCTGACTGAAACCCGTAAATAACTAACGTTACTAGCTAACGTTAATTTACAAATTATACATATTTTCATTCAGGTTATAGGCAACGTTTTATACAATACATTTACAACTTTTAGCAAAGAACTGGAACGAAACAGCTATTTTCCTGTGATGTGGTGCGGTAACGTTAGCTAGCTAGCTACATAGCTATGTCTATTTACCTCACGTTATCTAGCTAGCTAACGTTAGCTAATAACTTTCGTAGCTTAACGTTAGCCTCACTATCTTACTAAAATCTCTACGTGGTAAGTTTTTATTTTGCAGCAATATATTATTTTCTAGACCTCTGGCTTAACGTTTGCTAGCCTAACTAACTGGTAACACTATCTTAGCTAACATTAGCTAGTTATAACGTTAGCTAAGTGAACGTTGTAGCTACAGGTTCAACTTGGTACCGCTAGCTTGATAATTTAGCTGGTTAGCTAGCTAACTTAGCTAACGTTACCGGTAGCCAGCTACGTTTCCGTAGTACTGTAGCTAGTCTCACGTGAGTAATAACAAGGATGTAAAACATTTATGTTAACGCTAACGTTAGCTAATAATACTAGCCGTTTTCACTGCTGAAAGGGTGAAGTTAGCTACGCTGTTAGGGCCAGGGTGTGTGTGTGTGTGTGAGAGAGAGAGAGAGAGAGAGAGAGAGAGAGAAAGATTCTTGGCCAGTTTTAAAATAGTATTTTCTCTTAGAGATTCCATGGACAATTTGGTCAAAGAAAAACTGTCTGATTGGAATTTTGAGTCACTCATCTCAAAGTTTGAAGGTAAGGTTATTCATCTGATCAGGCCTAGGCTGGTTTATGTCTGTCTGTGTGTATCTCTCTGGGTTTTATGAAGAGGTGGGGGGGATCAGGTGTGGCAAAGTTAAACCACAATATTGGTCATTGGTTCTCAGCTTTAAACAAATCCAATAATTACTCCAAGAGGAGTCATTTCTCTTATTTGTGATTGGCTGAAGAAGTTTGCCACCACTATTTGAGGCAGGGTGTCATGTAAAAATCTATCCCAGCATGAAAATATTCCCAGTTCAATAATTGCACGCGCATCTCTTTATGTGGATGGCTGAGCTCGTGCGGATGTTTCTCTCACACACTCCCTTGACCTCGAAAAACGGTTGTGGGCACGCGCATTTGCTTCACACATTTGCCAATCAATGGTGGCCAGGAGTATTGACTCTGACCAATCAGAAGCTTGTTGAGGCGTGAGGTCAGCATAGAAATTCCCGGACTCTCGCGTCAAAGTGCTGAGGGTTGATGTGAGGAGAGATTTTTTGCGATTGCAAAACCTTGGGCGCTACGTTGTCGATTGACAGTGCATATATTTGTTTGTTAGCTAGTTAGTTAGGTAGCTAAACAAACAAGTTCAAACGGCACACCTCTTGAGAACAAGCCATCTCGACCAGTTTACAGCAAATTATGCTAGTTAACTAGCTAAATCGAGGGCAAGGGTGTGTGAGAGAAACATTTGCACGAGTTTAGCCATCCACACAGACGCGAATGCAATTATTGGCTGGGAACATTTTCACACTGTGACATTTTTTCCAACATGACGTCACAATCACAACGATTGGGAACTATTTGACGCTGGAAAGATTTTTACATGACACAGGGCGCACGCACAGTATGCTTTAGTACAGTACAATACAGCACAGTGCTGCACTATATTGTAGTATTGTACAGTGCACTACAGTACAGTAGATTACAGTACAGTATTTTAGGCTACATTATGGTACAGTAGGTTGCAGTGGGGCATTTTGAGTTGCATCTCTTGTATGAAATGTGCTATATAAAGTTTGATTTGATACAGTATAGTACAGTACAATTGGCTGTCCTCTATACATAAATTGATGGGGCATCACTAACACATTCCAGTTAAATTACAGTCTACTGTGGTCCTCTGTAGCTCAATTGGTAGAGCATGGCGCTTGTAACGCCAGGGTAGTGGGTTCGATCCCCGGGACCACCCATACGTAAAAAATGTATGCACACATGACTGTAAGTCACCTTGGATAAAAGCGTCTGCTAAATGGCATATTATATTATATTAAACGAATGTAAAGGCAGCCTACACAGGGGCCTTTTTTATAAACACACAGACAGAAACACACACCATGGAGACATTGGGAATGCATTCAAAGAGACTCTAGAAAGCGGTCTTATACTATACTGAACAAAAATATAAATGCAACATGTAAAGTGTTGGTCCGATGTTTCATGAGCTGAAATAAAATATCCCAGAAATGTTGCACACACTGAAAGCTTATTTCTCTCAATTTGTGCACAAATTTGTTTATATCCCTGTTAGTGAGCATTTCTCCTTTGCCAAGATAATCCATCCATCTGACAGGTGTGGCATATCAAGAAGCTGATTAAACAGCATGATCATTACACAGGTGCACCTTGTGCTTGGGACAATAAAAAGCCACTCTAAAATGTGCAGTTATGTCACACAACACAATGCCACAGATCAACATGAGTCCGTGTGTTATTTCATAGTTTTGATGTCTTCACTATTATTCTACAAAGTAAAAAATAGTAAAAATAAAGACAAACCCTTGAATGAGTAGGTGTGTCCAAACTTTTGACTGGTAGTGTATATGGATACATGATACATCCGGTTTTAATGTCTATGGATACAGCCAATGCGCTAATGATGCGCGATTTCGCCTGGCATAGAAAATGTGCTCTCTCGTTGGGACACTGCTCAGAGGAGCTAGCCAACTACACAGCTAACACAATCACTTAAAGTGAAGCTGGAAAGACAGGAAACTAGATGCATTTTGTTTCGTTTGACCTGTTTTTCTATTTACATTTCTTTGTATATATCCATAAAAATGATGCCGATTCTTGATTTAGACTGTCTGAGAAATGTATTTCCGCATTCAGAACAACTGGGAACTCGGGAAAAAACAATCTTCGACTGGGATTATTTTTTGTTGAACGGTCATCCAACTCGGAATTCCATGTCGGAAATTTAGGCATCTTTGTAGAGCTCTGACTTTCTGACCTGAAGATCACTGAAGTCATGATTTGACCTAGTTTTCCCCCACAGAGTTCCCAGTTGTCTTGAAAGCGCCATATCTCATCCTGAAACGTTAATCCTCAATGGGCCAATGAGAGATCAATTTTTGGGGTCTAATCCTGAATGCTGATTGGTTAAAACCGCATTCCAGCTCGTGTCTATTCCACAAATTAACACCCGCTAAATTGAAGACTTTAAAATGCCTATTTACTCTGTTCCATCTGACTGCGCAACCCACTGTCTCATCAGTCCAGCCAGGCAATTTATGAACTTGGTCGTCACTATAAAAAGCATCTAGACATTATCGCACAACAGACATTTCGTTTTCAACAGCAGAGATTTGTATAAACCTTGCTGTCTGTCTCTCCAACATTTGCAAATTTCAAATTCGATCTCCAGCTGTCCCATAGTAATGAACGTGTCGGGAGTCAGGATGAGACCGACAGGTAGGCAGCTTTTTTCAGCCAGTCGAAATCATGAATCAGCATCATTTTTATGGATATAGTTCTTTTATATATCAATAGAAAACAGGTAAAACTAAACGAAGTGCAACTAGTTTGAAGTCTTTCCAGCTTCAGTTTGAAGTGATTGTGTTAGCTGTGTTATTGGCTAGCTCCTCTGAACAACAGTATCCTGACGAGTGAGCACATTTTCTATGTCAAGCGAAATCGTGCATCATTAGCTCGTTGTTAAGGATGTATCCAAATAAATGTCACTAGAAAACAGCTTAAACAAATGCAAATGTAGCTACTTTGCTGTTATTCTGGATGCACTGTTTGACGTGAGTGTAAATTAGCCGTAGTTAGCAAGCAAGGATAAGAATATGTTGCTTTCCCGTTGTATAAAAGTGGTAATGCCAGAGAAGCCGGTGTTTGGAGGATATATTGGCACGGTTTGCAACACGTCTTCTGCGGCATTATCACTTAAATAGACACTGGCTAGAATGCAGTTTTAACAAATCAGCATCCAGGATTAGACCCACCCTTTGTATAATTCTGTATATCTCCCCCATTATCTCCGCCTCTGTTACTTGGCAAATCAATTAACCAGTGCATTATTCAAACTACTAATCATATCAATCTATTTCTTATCCATCTACAGTATCTAATGATATTTGATTCAGATGACCAGTTTTATACATTACCTATGGTGTCAGGAAAAGTGTGGTTTCCCAAATGTCAAATGTAAAGTTCTATGAACATACATGTAAGACGTATGCTATTACACTGAAACACATATTTGATTGCCTAGCTTAGTTGACATAACGTAACATTTTAAGGCAGCAGAGTAACTTCAAAATATAACTCAGGAAATCAAGTTAAGGTATTAACCTGACTTGATATGAGATTGTCCCGTGTGGCAAGATATTACATCCCAGATAGACAAACACTAACTAGACAACACATACTAAATGGCTCCTATATACAGTATGTTCTTTATCTAAAAGTGCAGATTGACTCTATCTTTAAATGCATTCCATTCAATATAACATGTTTATGATATTACATTTTTAATGGTTTGTATGATTTTGATGTTACCAGTTGTAAATAAATTGTTTGTTAAAATTAATGTGAGGAGCCGTCAACAGTCAAACATGAAAACCAGTTCACGAATAAATTAGGAGGAAAGGCTTGTTAAAATGTCTCAAAATAACTTCTGGACCACATTCGCATAGAACGTTTTACCGAAAAACTATGCAATTATGTTCTATTTGTTCCATTTAGTCTGAGACTACATTAAACTTGTGTGTGGATCCCCAGGGTATGTGGGTACCACATGTTGAGACACTGGATTCTCTCCTATGTGAGTTCTCTGATGTGACTTCATACTGGAGCGCTGGGTGAAGCATTTCCCACACTGTGTGCACTCGTATGGCTTCTCCCCGCTGTGGACCACAGCATGTCTGATCAGGTTGCACTGCTTGGTGAAACTCCTGCCACACTGTTCGCAGGTGTAAGGTTTTTCTCCGGTGTGACTCCGGAGGTGCACTTTGAGCTGGCTGAAACGCTGGAAGCTCTTCCCACAGAAGGTGCAGCTGAAACGCCTCTCGGTGGTGCCACCCGACCTCCACTGAGTCCTCATTCTCTTCACCATGTTAAAACTACTGCGACTCAGGCTGTATCCAGAGAAGGTGGAGGTGGTGGCCATGTTTGACGCTGTCATGCCCTCACTCAATCTCACTGTTGCTTCCGAAGCCCTGTACTGATGCTGCCTTGGCTGTAGAGCTAAATTATTTACGTCATTATTTGAGTTCAGTCTCTCGCTGCTCTGTCCCTCTGGCATCTGTTGTCTAGTCTCATCAGCCAATGTCCTGACATGTCTTTTCATGTGTGCTGCTGCACTGAACATGTTAGCATGTGGTTTCCCTATAGAAGAGTGAAGCGATGGCCCTACATCATCTGTCATAGTAGGAACAGATGGCAGCCCACTATGAGATGGGAAAATTGAGATATTCTGAGAGTATTCTTCTGTGGCATGAAAGGAGAAATCTGGGTGGCCATCAGTGTCTCTGCCTGGATCCACAGAGGTCCACAGCTGCCCATTAGTCTCATCCATGACAAACTGGTCAGGTCCTGTGGTCTGATCCATGTCATCCTTTTTCTCATCCTTCACCATCACTAGTTCTAGTGAGTCCTCGTCCTCGGCTGGCCGGTGCTGCTCTGTGCTGAACACCTCTGTAGACGTGAGCCGGGGTCTGCCTGGTTCCTCTGGACCATCAGAATTGGGGTAATGTTCCACTGAGACTTCAGGAGATATGTTGAGTTGTGTGATGAAGTCCTCATCACAGTGCCGTTGCTCAAAGGATGGTGGTTGCCCAGGCTTGGAACCAGACTCTAAAGATTTGGGATAAACATAAAATAAACATTACAGAAGACCCGTAGCCCTTGCCACTCAGCCCCTATACAGGTTGAAAATTGCAGATTTTGTCATTGATAAGCGACTAAATTGGAATGCAGTGGCTGTACAGTAACATGCTATACATGACGTCAGAGTTCAGATTCTCCACTTCACAGCGCTGTATGGGTTTTGACCAGGGGTTGGAACCGAAATTATTTTCCAATCTTTTCTTTCTGAAAAGGAACCATAATTTTTTTCGTTCTGTTCCACTATTCCAACCTGCAAAATAAAGTTCTGAACCGGTTCAAACCCCCAAAAAGTACAGTTTATATTGTTTATTTCTGCTCCTTTTTAAAACCTCTGAAACCTATTAATGTTTTTACATTAACTCAACATTAAATTAGTTCACCAATCAGAGCGGATAGAGCCGCTTGCTATGGAGCGGGCAAGTTATTGTTTACATGCGCGATGGACAGACAATACGTAAAATGTATGCACACATGACTGTAAGTCGCTTTGGATAAAAGCGTCTGCTAAATGGCATATTATTATTATTATTAAGTGTAGGGCGCGAGATGCGACTGACATTATTTTTAGTCCCACCCTTCAGCTACCCTCAACCCCTCCCATCTATCTCTGAAGATCATCCAGCATTTTTCAACTGTATTGTTTCACAAAAGTTCTGAACCTTTCTGTTCTCATAGTTTCTACAGATAAATGTACAACATTTTTTTGCTATGAATATTATTGATCAATTGACTATGATTTTTCAAATCACCTAGCAGTGCTATTTGCAGAGTTAGCTCCAGGTAAAATGTTGCAATACTTCAGCCATTCCTCAACCTGCAACCAAAAAGAAGCTACATATGGGCAATACCAAAAGAAGTGATGTAATGATTGTCACTTTGCAGCAAAATCTGCAGAGCTGGGATGGTTGTAACAAACACACAGACAGCACCAGTCAAAAGTTTGGACACCTACTCATTCAAGGGGTTCTCTTTATTTTTACTATTTTCTACATTGCAGAATAATATTGAAGACATCGAAACTATGAAATAACACATATGGAATCATGTAGTAACCAAAAAAGTATTAAACAAATCAAAATATATTTTATATTCTTCAAATAGCCACCCTTGGCCTTGATGACAGCTTTGCACAATCTTGGCATTCTCTCAACCAGCTTCACCTGTAATTATTTTCCAACAGTCTTGAAGGAGTTCCCACATATGCTGAGCACTTGTTGGATGCTTTTCCATCACTCTGCGGCCGACTCATCACAAACCATCTCAATTGGGTTGAGGTCGGGGGATTGTGGAGGGCAGGTCATCTGATGCAGCACTCCATCACTTTCCTTCTTGGTCAAATAGCCCTTTACACAGCCTGGAGGTGTGTTGGGTCATAGTCCTGTTGAAAAACAAATGATAGTCCCACTAAGCCCAAACCAGATGGGATGGCGTATCGCTGCAGAATGCTATGGTAGCCATGCTGGTTAGTGTGCCTTGAATTATAAATAAATCACAGACCGTGTCACCAGCAAAGCACCCCCACACCATCACACCTCCTCCTCCATGCTTCACAGGGGAACAACACATGTGGAGATCATCCGTTGACCTACTCTACGTCTTACAAAGACACGGCGGTTGGAACCAAAAATCTCAAATTTGGTGGTTTCTTTGCAACAATTCGACCACGAAGGCCTGATTCACACAGTCCCCTCTAAACAGTTGATGTTGAGATGTGTCTGTGACTTGAACTCCGTGAAGCATTTATTTGGGCTGCAATTTCTGAGGCTGGTAACTCTAATGAACTTATCCTCTGTAACTCTGGGTCTTACATTCCTGTGGCGGTCCTCATGAGAGCCAGTTTCATCATAGCGCTTGATGGTTTTTGCGACTGCACTTGAAGAAACTTTCAAAGTTCTTGAAATGTTCCGTATTGACTGACCTTCATGTCTTAAAGTAATGTTGGACTGTCGTTTCCCTTTGCTTATTTGAGCTGTTCTTGTCATAATATGGACTTGTTTTTTTACCAAATAGGGCTATTTTCTGTGTACCCCCGCCTACCTTGTCACAACACAACAGATTGGCCCTAACGCATTAAGAAGGAAAGAAATTCCACAAATGAACTTTTAACAAGGCACACCTGTTAATTGAAATGCATTCTAGGTGACTACCTCATGAAGCTGGTTGAGAGAATGCCAAGAGTGTGCAAAGCTGTCAAGGCAAATTGTGGCTATTTGAAGAATCTCAAATATAAAATATGTTTTGATTTGTTTAACACTTTTTTGGTTACTACATGACATGTGTTATTTCATAGTTTCGATGTCTTCACTATTATTCTACAATGTAGTAAATAGTACAAATAAAGAAAAAGCCTTGAATGAGTAGGTGTGTCCAAACTTTTGACTGGTAGTGTACATACATACACAACATTCGGAAAGTATTCAGACCCCTTGAATTTTTCCACATTGTTACGTTACAGCCTTATTCTAAAATGGATTAAATAGTGTTTTTTTCTCCCCCTCAATCTACACACAATACCCCATAATGACAAAGCAAAAAAACTGAAATATCACATTTGCATAAGTATTCAGACCCTTTACTCAGTACTTTGTTGAAGCACCTTTAGCAGCGATTACAGCCTCAAACCTTCTTGGGTATGACCCTACAAGCTTGGCACACCTGTATTTGGGGAGTTTCTCCCATTCTTCTCTGCAGATCCTCTCAAGCTCTGTCAGGTTGGATGGGAAGCATTGCTGCACAGCTACTTTCAGGTCTCTCAAGAGATGTTTGATCGGGTTCAAGTCCGGGCTCTGGCTGGGCCACTCAAGGACATTCAGAGACTTGTCCCGAAGCCACTCCTGTGTTGTCTTGGCTGTGTGCTTAGGGTCATTGTCCTGTTGGAAGGTGAACCGTCGCCCCAGTCTGAGGTCCTGAGTGCTCTGGAGCAGGTTTTCATCAAGGATCTCTCTGTACTTTGCTCCGTTCATCTTTCCTCTATCCTGACTCGTCTCCTAGTCCCTGCCGCTGAAAAACATCTCCACAGCATGATGCTGCCATGACCATGCTTCACCGTAGGGTTGGTACCAGGTTTCCTCCAGAAGTGACGCTTGGCATTCAGGCCAAAGAGTTCAATCTTGGTTTCATCAGACCAGAGAATCTTGTTTCTCATGGTCTGAGAATCTTAAGGTGCCTTTTGGCAAACTCCAAGCGGGCTGTCATGTGCCTTTTACTGAGGAGTGGCTTCCGTCTGGCCACTCTACCATAAAGGCCTGATTGGTGGAGTGCTGCAGAAATGGTTCTCCCATCTCCACAGAGGAACTCTAAAGCTCTGTCAGAGTGACCATCGGGTTCTTGGTCACCTCCCTGACCAAGGCCCTTCTCCACCGATTGCTCAGTTTGACCGGGCGACCAGCTCTAGGAAGAGTCTTGGTGGTTCCAAACGTCTTCCAGTTAAGACTGATTAGGCCACTGTGTTCTTGGGGACCTTCAATGCTGCAGAAATGTTTTGGTACCCTTTCCCAGATCTGTGCCTCGACACAATCCTGTCTCGGAGCTCTACTGATAATTCCTTCGACTTCATGGCTTGGTTTTTGCTCTGACATGCACTGTCAACTGTGGGACCTTATATAGACAGGTGTGTGCGCCTTTCCAAATCATGTCCAATCAATTGAATTTACTACAGGTGGACTGCAATCAAGTTGTAAAACATCTCAAGGATGATCAATGGAAACAGGATGCACCTGACCTCAATTGAGTCTCACAGCAAAGGGTCTGAATATTTATGTAAATAAGGTTTCTGTTTTTATTTTTTATACATTTGCAAAAAAAATCTCAACCTGTTTTCGCTTTGTCATTATGGGGTATTGCGTGCAGATTGCTAAGGAATTTGTTATATTTAATCCATTTTAAAATAAGGCAGTAATGTAACAAAATGTGGAAAAAGTCAAGGGGTCTGAATACTTTCCGAAGGCACTGTGTGTATGTATATATATATATACACACACTACCAGTCAAAAGTTTGGACACCTACTCATTCAAGGGTTTTTCTTTATTTTTACATTGTAGAATAATAGTGAAGACATCAAAACTATGAAATAACACATGGAATTATGTTGTAACCAAAAGTGTTAAAACAAATCCAAATATATGTTATATTTGAGATTCTTCAAATAGCCACCCTTTGCCTTGATGACCGCTTTGCACACTCTTGGCATTCTCTCAACCAGCTTCATGAGGTAGTCACCTGGAATGCATTTCAATTAACAGGTGTGCCTTCTTAAAAAGTTAAGTTGTGAAATGTCTTTCCTTCTTAATGCGTTTCAGCCAATCAGTTGTGTTGTGACAAGGTAGGGGGGGCTACAGAAGATAGCCCTATTTGGTAAAAGGCGAAGTCCATATTACGGAAAGAACAGCTCAAATAAACAAAGAGAAACGACAGTCCATCATTACTTTAAGATATTAAGGTCAGTCAATATGGAAAATGTCAAGAACTTTGAAAGTGCAGTCACAAAAAGCACTATGATGAAACTGGCTCTCATGAGGACCGCCACAGGAATGAAAGACCCAGAGTTACCTCTGCTGCAGAGGATAAGTTCATCAGAGTAACCAGAAATTGCAGCCCAAATAAATGCTTCACAGCGTTCAAGTAACAGACACATCTCAACGTCAACTGTTCAGAGGGGACTGTGTGAATCAGGCCTTCATGGTCGAATTGCTGCAAAGAAACCACCACTAAAGGACACCAATAAGAAGAAGAGACCTGCTTGGGCCAAGAAACAGGAGCAATGGACATCAGACCGGTGGAAATGTGTCCTTTGGTCTGAAGTCCAAATTGGAGATTTTTGGTTCAAACCGCCGTGTCTTTGTGAGACGCGGTGTGGGTGAACGGATGATCTCTGCATGTGTAGTTCCCACCGTAAAGCATGGAGGAGGCGGTGTTATGGTGTGGGGGTGCTTTGCTGGTGACATTGTCTGTGATTTATTTAGAATTCAAGGCACACTTAACCAGCATGGCTACCACAGCATTCTGCAGCGATACGCCATCCCATCTGGTTTGGGACTATCATTTGTTTTCAACAGGACAATGACCCAACACACCTCCAGGCTGTGTAAGGGCTATTTGACCAAGAAGGAGAGTGATGGAGTGCTGCATCAGATGACCTGGCCTCCACAATCCCACAACCTCAACCCAATTGAGATGGTTTGGGATGAGTCGGCCGGCAGAGTGAAGGAAAAGCAGCCAACAAGTGCTCAGCATATGTGGGAACTCCTTCAAGACTGTTGGAAAAGCATTCCAGGTGAAGCTGGATGAGAGAATGCCAAGTGTGTGCAAAGCTGTCATAAAGGCAAAAGGGTGGCTATTTGAAGAATCTCAAATATAAAATATATTTTGATTTGTTTAACAATTTTTTGGTTACTAGATGATTCCATACGTGTTATTTCATCATTTGATGTCTTCACTATTATTCTACAATGTAGAAAATAGTAAAAATAAAGAAAAACCCTTGAATGAGTATGTGTGTTCAAACTTTTGACTGGTACTGTATATATAAATAAAAACATTCTATTGGTTGCAATAATTTTTGTATAATAATTTAAATAGAAAAACTCAACGTTTTGAGTCACACGTCATTTTGTGTATCAGTTCATAAACCATATGCCATAGAATCGGTACAACGAATATCTCTACCCAACTATTTTGCAACCTGTATGGCTCAGCAGTCAATTTTTTGGTCCTTACATGAAACTGGCATACTAATTTTATTTAACCAATTTGTCTTCAATGCAGGGCCAACAGACAAGTTCCTTACCTTCTCCCCCTTCCACTTGCCTCCTCCATTTTTGCGGTAATGCTGCAATCAGTTGGTGGTAAATTTGGATAGAGCAGACATTTCCATTTTTGTTAACTGCATGTGTGACATAACTGCACCAGTCCTATTTATGATATCATTTACAAAGATTATACCGTAAAAAATTTAAATGTTTTTTTTAATCCATTTTTTATTTGTGTTTAACCATAATATTTGTTGTAATATTTGTTCTGTCTTTTCTGGTGGATTAAACTGAGAAAAATAAGAATAAACCCGCACACTGCTCTTGATAGTATCACTGCTCTTCAATAAGCTTTACGTATCGGCCTCAAGGTCTTCGTCAGAGCTTTTGATAACGGTGCTAATTTAAAAAAAAACTCACAAAAGCTCTGACGAAGGCCTTGAGGCCGATACGTAAAGCTTATTAAAGAGCAGTGATACTATCAAGAGCAGTGATACTATCAAGAGCAGTGTGCGGGTTTCTTCTTATCTTATTCAACTGTTACCATGCACCTGCAAAAAATATATCTCAGATGTGCGAGTGCCTTTTGAACTGGTGGATTAAACTGAAATTGCAACCAGCTTTCTATGGCTTGTTTTTAAAATAGCGATATTTTGGAGATTTCATTTTTAAATAACCGAAAGTGAGCGGTTGTAATCTGAATAAAGGGAAAAGGGCCATTCTTGAACAAGGGGTGAGCCATTCTTACTAATCTGCTAGAGAACCCGTTCGGATTTAAGTATAGCTTTTGTATTACTGAAGCCTTTAGTGCTTTAATATTGCTTTAATATTTAATCATTTCTGCCCTCCGAGTTCATATTTATTATATAAATAGGCCTGTTTAATTTGATCTGGATTTCCATTAGAAATAAAGTAGAATATGTTTTGTTCATATAATTAAAAAAAACAAGTCATTAGGTGTAGGCAGAGCCATAAGTAAATAGGTAAACTGGGATATGACTGAAGAGTTAATCAGGGTGATTTTTCCACAAATAGACAGGTATTGTTCTTTCCATTATAGCAAGACCTTATCTATTTTTGATAACTTTCTATTAACATTTATTGTAGTGAGACCATTTTTCTTTCGGGATATGAATACCAAGTATGTCCACTTCACCGTCAGACCATTTTATTGCTAAACTTCTCGGTAATGTAAAAGCAGTATTTTTTAGCGAAACAATACGTAATATGGTGCACTTATCATAATTTGGTTGTAATCCAGAGGTTGAAAAATTATCTAGATCCTCTATGAGGCTGTGCAGGGATACAAATTGCAGATTTAAAAGAAAAAAAACGAATCATCAGTGTACAATGAAACCTTTGTTTTTATGTCCTGGACTTCTAGCCCCTTGATATTATTGTTGGATCTGATTTTAATAGCAAACATTTAAATGGCCATAATAAATAGATATGCCGATAGTGGTCAACCTTGTTTTATTCCCCTCAACAACTATTTTACACCTGGGGTTACTATTCATAACTTTAACCAATTGTATAAGAGATTGTCCAAGCCCTGGGCATCTTGTTATGACATGCATTATCTGAGTGAGGGAAATGTTGAGGTGTTCTGAAAAATGAGGATTATAATAAATACTGATTTGATGTCATACAAGCAAACCACACACCCGTGAGTCCAAATGTGCACTTCACATTTCCATATTTGAAAACTCATGTTATTTACATGATCAACGTTTATGATCGCTATGTTTGATCCACAGTTACAAGGATGGCATGCGTTATACCCTGGGTTGTCTTGAACAGAATGAGCCTATGTTTGTCGTATTATGAAGAACATTAGCCGCAGAACATGCACTTGAATGCACTCATGACTCCATTCTATGCACACCAAAATTACAATCTGTTTGTCTGAAGTGCTTTTGAAAGCCTAACACTAAGATCGTATTTGATAACTTAGCTAGCCATGTTGGCAATAGAATAAGCTTTCAAATTATGTCCACCTGACCCAGACTGTGATTTATAATGGAATGTTTTTTGATTGCATAAACAGTAATTGTGTGATGGTGGGGACGCAGGGCTGTGTTCCAAACAAAAAACTACAAGTGTACTTGCTTCAGTTCCTCAATGGCAAAGCCAGGAGCGCTCAAAAAAGCACCTTATAGTTGAAGGCTCTTTCCTTGAGTCATTAAAGTGCATTGAAATGACTTAGGAACTATGCACAGTTTGGTGTGTGGCCACTTAGACCTCTCACTCAAAGCATTTTAATTATTTAGTCTTATCTTGTACCTACTCCAAAATGTCAATGAATATTCATATTAATTATGTTACTGAATGTATCCAGAGTATTTTCAGATTTCGTTATTGACAAATGCTGTGAAAAGTACAGTAAATGTAAAGTGTAATCTTCGGATTCAGTCTTGAGTCAGGTGAACTGTTGTGTCCTCAACTTTGGTCTGATCATTTCCCCATAATCTCCAAAGTGTTCGCTTTCAATTGCTACCATGGTCATCCATATGCTTTTTTATAGTTCTTCTGTTAGAAACATTTAAATGTGGCCCTATCCATTTAGGCCAATTTCTACAAGTGCAAGGGGTTAGCAGTTGCAAAACATAACTGCTTTAGAACTGACTGTGTGTGTACATGCTCCATATGCCAAAACATAAAACACTCAACACCAATGTAGCAATTTGGAACGTGCATACAACCACACCAACACAGTCTTCCATAGACAGACAGAGCAGGACCCCTTATGTCAGCACCCACCCTCTCCAGTGATCCTGAGCTCTTCCTGAGGGTCAGTCTTCCACACATCCTCTGCTGTCTCCTCATCTTTGATCAGTATGGGTTCAGTCTCTGTTCTCTGCTCCACATCTGTAGGCTGTAACAGGGGACTGAGGTTATTACTCTGGACACACACCATATATAACCCTTTTCATACTAATAAGTCACACAAAAGCGGTAAATTCTCCTGATATTCCAATAACCATAGGCCCTGTGCCCAAGAACGCCAAAGTAACCTGTCTAAATGACTATCGCCCTGTAGCACTCACATCTGTAGCCATTAAATGCTTTGAAAGGCTGGTCATGGCATCATCATCATCACAGACACCCTGGACCCACTCCGATTCGCATACCGCCCCAACAGATCCCTAGATGATGCAATCTCTATTGTACTCCACACTGCCTTTTCCCACTTGGACAAAAGGAACACCTACGTGAGAATGCTGTTCAATTAACTACAGCTCAGCGTTCAACATCATAGTGCCTTCCAAGCTCATCAGTAAGCTAAGGACCCTGGGACTGAACACCTCGTATCCCCCTTTCCTTTTGCAACTGGATCCTGGACTTCCTGATGGACGCCCCCTTGTGGTGAGGGTAGAAAACAACACATCCGCCACGCTGACCCTCAACAATGGGGCCCCTCAGGGGTGCGTGCTTAGTCCCCTCCTGTACTCTCTGTTCACCCATGACTGCGTGGCAGCACACAGCTCCAACACCAGCATTAAGTTTGCCCGACAACACGATGGTGGTAGGCCTGATCACGACAACGAGACAGCCTATAGGGAGGAGGTCTGACACCTGGCAGTGTGGTGCCAGGACAACAACCTATCCCTAAACGTCAGCAAGACAAAGGAGCTGATTGTGGACTACAGGAAACGGAGGGCTGAGCACTCCCCCATTCACATCGACAGGGCTGTAGTAGAGCGGGTCGAGAGCTTCAAGTTCCTCGGTGCCCACATCAAAGGATATATCATGGTCAAAACACACCAACACAGTCGTGAAGAGGGCACGACAACGCGTCTTCCCCCTCAAATCCTCAAAAAGTTATATAGCTGCACCATTGAGAGCTCTTGACTGACTGCATCACCACTTGGTATAGCAACTGCTTGGCATCCGACCGCAACGCGCTACAGAGGGTAGTGCGTATTGTCCAGTAAATCACTGGGGCCGAGCTCCCTGCCATCCAGGACCTCTATACCAGCCAGTATCAGAGGAAGGCCCTTAAAATTGTCAAAGACTCCAGCCACCCGTCTCTCTGCTACCACACAGCAAGTAGTATCGATGCACCCAGTCTGGAACCAAAATGACACTGAACAGCTTCTAAACCCAAGACATAAAACTGTTAAATAGTTAACCAAATAGCTACCTGGACTATCTGCATTAATTTAACTAACTTTGACTCATCACATACGCTGCTGCTACTGTCACTTTATTCCTAGATATATGCATATCTACCTCAATTACCTCATACCCCTGCAAATCGACACGGTACTGATACCCCTTGTATAGATATCGTTACTCATTGTGTATCTATTATTATGTGTTTCATTTTTCTATTATTTCTCTATTTTACTTAATTTCACTATTAGTCCACACCTATTTACGAAGCATGACTAATCAAATTTGATTTGAACATATTTGATCCGAGAGGTCACGTCTAATTGTAAAAGGTGATGTATCACACCTGGGGTTGAGAGTCCTCTTCAACAGCAATCTCTTCGTATCTCCACTGTGAGCTACTCCTCTGCTTGTTCAAAACAATCTTGACTGGATATGAAGATCTCTCTGATGCCATGGGGTAAAAAACTTGAAAATAATTGCATTCAGTCCAATATTAGGGCTATTCACGCATTTGGGTTTTGCATATGCAATCAATTTATCATGAATAACACATTACCTTTTCTCCTGACTCGTGTCTTCTTCAGCTCGCCCTCCATCATTTGACACTTCCTTTTCAGTACATCAATATCTCGCTGGCTTTGGGTCATTTCCAAACGTATAACTGCACAGCTATCATCAACACGTTTGTTTATTTCTGCTACAGCTGCTTTAGCTAATACCTCCATAATGGATACAAACTGAGCCTGAAAATTGCAGCTGGCCATCTTGTCAGATTTGTATTATCTGTGTGAAGTAAAAACTCTACAATTTCCCAGCTAATGTGCAAGAAACAATCCGTAGACGTTGATAAACGTGGGAGATGCGTGCGCAACTGCAGTCGCATTTGGGTTCAACTCGTGACGCAAGTATTTATTACCGTAAAGACAGACTGCAACAGCCCTTCAAAATTGGTAGAACTAGTAAGGTCAAGGCAAATACGATAGTCTGTTCTAGTCTGCATGTAGGGTAGCCATATCTATTGACAAAAACGAAGACGTTTTAAAACGTATTCTCTTTTTAGTCAATAGAAATGGCTACATGTAGGGCCCAGGAGAGCGCATTACAATGGAGTGGCTCACATGGTTATGAATGCATAAGGCATGAAGCACTGTAGTAAAACGTAAAATACTTCAACCATTCTTAAAAACTCATGGTTTATATATGATCTAATATTGTCATCTCCATTCTCATCAACACAACCTAATAAACCATTCTGAAAATGTGGTATAGTATTTATTAAAGGATCGAAAAGGGTATATAACTTGTTTGACATGGGGAACAAAGACTATAAACTAGCTTAATGTAAATATATATTTCAAGTAACTTGCATACTAGGCTACATGCATTATACCTGATTTACAGTACCAGTCAAAAGTTTGGACACACCTACTCATTCCAGGGTTTTGCTTTATTTTTTTTATTTTTTTTTAAATGTAGGGCTAGATCAGCTTTAATATTGCAGCTAGATTGTAACTTCCATCAATGTAATTGTCTGCATCACTTCCAATCCCCCACGTTTTTGTCTCGCATATATATATATATATATATATATATATATATTATATATATATATATATATATATATATATATATATATATATGTGTATACACACACACATACAAATACATACATATCCTTTAAAAAATTTTATTTTTCTTTATTACTTTCCAACCCCACCACCCCTCCCCTAATTGGAGTAAACTAGTGAACAACAATGCTTAGGCCTCTACTTCCAGCTAATACATACTATATACATTTTATGGACATAGTCAATTTTACAATATTTCAATTTTTTTTGTTTTTACTCCTGAACTTCCTCTGTCCCTCAACCTCTCCGATCATTTTCATGATGTCCATCTGTTTTGCTTCTATATGCCATATGTCACGTTGTATAATGATTAGAAGACAGGCGCAGGAATACGTATTATCTTTTTTTATTTACTCCACCCAACACAAGGTACGTCATGAAAAAAGACGGTGACGAAGCCCAAAACAAACACGTGTGTGTATATATATATATATATATATATATATACAGGGATGTGACCCAAACAAAAGAGCGAGGTGTAAACCTCTAAATAATACACGGCACAAGACCCGTAATTACAAGAGCACAATACACGGTACTCACGAGACCAACGGACATGGGACAATAATCGACAAGGACAATGGGGAACAGCGGGCACATATATACACCTACTAATCAGGGGGAATGGGAACCAGGTGTACGTAATGAGACGAGACAGTCCAGGGTTGGTGGTAATGAACCAGGTCAGTGACGCCTAGAAGGCCGGTGATGTAGACCTCCGGAGCTGGTGAACGGAATGAGCAGCAGTACCGGGGGGATCCGTGACGGCCGCTGGAGACGAGTGTGTGCAACGTTCCAGATCTCCTCAGCGCGCCAAAACCACTCGTCCACCGCAGGGGCCTCGGTCTGGCTCGGATGCCAAGGTGCCAGGGCCGGCTGATACCCCAACACGCACTGGAAAGGAGTGAGGTTAGTGGAGGAGTGGCGGAGGGAATTCTGCGCGTACTCAGCCCAAGGTAGAAAATCTGCCCACTCCCCTGGCTGGTCCTGACATTAACACCTCAGTAACCTGCCCACTTCCTGATTGACCCTCTCCACCTGCCCATTAGCTTGAGGACGGTACCCGGAGGAGAGACTGACCGTGACCCCCAGGCGTTCCATGAACGCTTTCCATTAGTGTGATCCTCCGGGATCCTGTAGTGCCGGAAGACGTGCGTAAAAAGAGCCTCCGCGGTTTGCATGGCCGACGGGAGCCCAGGCAGAGGAAGGAGGCGACAAGCTTTGGAAAACCGGTCCACAACGATGAGAATGGTGGTGTTCCCCTGGGCGGGGCTCAGCTGCTTGCAGTTGAAGGCGCAGGGCCGCAGTTTTGGAGGTGTTCCAGTGCGCTGGGACAGCACTGCCCCGGCTCCTACTTCGGAGGCATCCACGTCGACGATGAAGGGGAGTGAGGGGTTGGGATGTGCCAGCACGGGAGCAGTGGTGAAGCGTGCCTTCAGTGTCTCGAATGCCCTCTCCGCCTCCACTGTCCCTACGAAGCCGCTGGGGACCTCCTCTCAGTAGGGAGGTAAGAGGCGCGACCACCGTGCTGAAGCCCCAGATGAACCTCCGGAAATAGTTGGCGAACCCCAGGAATCGCTGGACTGCTTTCACAGAGTTGGGGATGGGCCATGACCTGACTGCGCTGACTTGTTGCTCCTCCATCTCCACTCCCTCCATGGATATGAGGTAGCCCAAGAAGGACAAGGACCGCTGGAAAAACGAAAATGTTTCTTGTTTAACATAGAGATAATGCTCCAACAGTCTTCCCAGCACAGACCTGACTAACGAGACATACTGGGCTCGGTCAGTAGAATAAACCAAAATGTTGTCTATATAAACCACTGCACCCCGTCCCAGCATGTCCCGAAACACTTTGTTAATAAAGGCCTGGAAGACTAGAGCATTAGACAGGCCAAAGGGCATTAAGAGATACTCGTAATGCGTCGTGGTCGTGGAAAAGGCTGTTTTCCATTCGTCGCCTGCACGAATGCGCACCAGATTGTAGGTGCTCCTCAAGTCCAGTTTCGTGAAGTACTGCGGCCCGTGCATTTGTTCGATGATGGTTGGGATGAGGGGTAAAGGATAGCTGAACTTAACGGTGGCTTTGTTCAGTGTTCGATAATCAATGCAGGGGCGCAGTCCCACATCTTTTTCTTAACAAAAAATAAGCTTGAGGAGGCTGGATAAAACCCTGTTGGAGGCTCTCCTGTATGTAGGTCTCCATGGCCTTTGTCTCCGCGTAGGAGAGGGGATAGATGTGTCCTCTCGGGAGGACTGCGTCAGACAGCAGGTCAATGGCACAGTCCCAGAGGTGATGAGGAGGCAGGCGTGTAGCCTGGGTCTTTGAGAAAACCCGGTCCAGATCCTGGTATTCCTCCGGTAAATTCACTTGAGTGGCGTGGTCCGGACTTTCCACCGTAGTGGTGTTGACAGACACCACGAGACACCTCCCCTGACACTCCTGCGACCAACCCAGCAGTCTCCTCTTGGACCAGGAAATAACAGGGTTATGCCAACTCAACCAGGGGAGACCTAAAACAACGGGGTGCCTGGGGGTGTCTATAATCAAAAAGATGATCTGTTCTAAATGAGTGTCATGGGTCAGCAGAGAAACGAGAACAATGATGGGATGTATGAGCCCTGTCCCTATTGGACGATTATCTAGGGCTTGAACTGGAATGGGTGACTGTAGGGGAACCCAAGCAATGCGTAATGCAGTGGCCAGGGCACTATCTAAAAGATTCCCGGCAGCTCTGGAATCAATCAGAGGTAACGGGAGTGAGGGGCTAGGGTATTCAGGGTATTTAATGGAAAAACACACTGGTTGATTTGACAGAAAAGGAGAGGAGATCTTGCATCCTCCCTAGGTTGGAGCAGGGGAATTCCCTGGCTTGTCACCTCCTCGCCTATTAGTGGATAGAGGGCAGGTTGGGGACAAATGACCCCTTTCTCCACCATAGGACCAGAGGCCCAAATTCCTCCTTCTCCTAAGCTCTGCCTCGGACCAACATGCAGAGACCACCTCCATTGGCTCTGGCCACAGAGCAGGTGTAGCCATGGGCACCGGATTCCGTGCAGGTCTTTGTCGGGACCGCGGGAGGTTGTCCAAACGGATCGCCATGCTGATGAGCTGGTCGAGTGACAGATTGTCATCACGGCAGGCTAACTCCATCTGTACCTCCTCCTGCAGTCCGCTGTGGAAAACGGTGACCAGAGCCGACTCGTTCCATCCGGTGAAGGCCGCGATGGGCCGGAACTCCAGGGCGAACTCCGACGCGGTCCTAGATCACTGGCATAGTCGGAGTAGACGCTCACCCCCCTCTCGGCCCTCCACAGGATTATCAAACACCGAGCGGAAAAGGAGGGTGAAGCGCTCATAGGACTCGACCTCGGGTCCGCCCCTCTCCCAGACCGTGGCACCCCAGTCCAGGGCCCGTCCGGTCAGTGCCGAGATGACTGTGGCAACCCTGTCTCTCCCGGAGACACCCTCGGCGTAGCGAGTGAGGTACAGGACGCATTGCAGAAGGAATCCCTTGCATCTCGCTGGCACACCATCAAAGTGCTCCGGGAGGGACAGGGGTATTCCGTGGACCAGCTCAGATGGGACGGAGGCAGGTAGTGGTGGTGTGGGGGCTGGTGCTGGAACCGGTGCTGGAGACTGGAGGGACTGCACTTTCCCCTCCAACCGCAGGATGGTTGCCAGCACGCTGTCCATGGTGCTGCCGAGTCTGTAGAGAGACAGTCCTCGTGATGCTGGACGATGGTCTCTACGATGGTCGCCAGCTCGGCCTTTCCCTCTGTCTCCATTTTTATGGGTTGATTATTCGGTCACGTTGTATAATGATTTGAAGACAGGCACAGGAATACGTATTAGTTTTTTTTATTTCTCCACCCAACACAATGTATGTCATGAAAAACGACGGGGACGAAGTCCAAATCAAACACGTGTATATACAGTCGTGGTCAAAAGTTTTGAGAATGACACAAGTATTGGTCTTCACAAAGTTTGCTGCTTCAGTGTTTTTAAATATTTTTGTCAGATGTTACTATGGTATACTGAAGTACAGTGAGGGAAAAAAGTATTTGATCCCCTGCTGATTTTGTACGTTTGAAGACCTGTGAGGCGTCTGTTTCTCAAACTAGACTCTCTAATGTATTTGTCCTCTTGCTCAGTTGTGCACCGGGGCCTCCCACTCCTCTTTCTATTCTGGTTAGAGCCAGTTTGCGCTGTTCTGTGAAGGGAGTAGTACACAGCGTTGTACGATATCTTCAGTTTCTTGGCAATTTCTCTCATGGAATAGCCTTCATTTCTCAGAACAAGAAGGCCAGTTTTATTGCTTCTTTAATCAGCACAACAGTTTTCAGCTGTGCTAACATACTTGCAAAAGGGTTTTCTAATGATCAATTAGCCTTTTAAAATGATAAACTTGGATCAGCAAACACAACGTGCCATTGGAACACAGGACTGATGGTTGCTGATAATGGGCCTCTGTACGCCTATGTAGATATTCCATTAAAAACCAGCCATTTCCAGCTACAATAGCTATTTACAACATTAACAATGTCTACACTGTATTTCTGATCAATTTGATGTTATTTTAATGGATAAATAAATTGCTTTTCATTCGAAAACAAGGACATTTCTAAATGACCCCAAACTTTTGAACGGTGGTGTGTATTTACACCTACTAATCAGGGGGAATGGGAACAAGGTGTGCGTAATGAGACAAGACAGTCCGGGGGTTGGTGGTAATGAACCAGGTCAGTGACGCCTAAAAGGCCGGCGACGTAGACCTCCGGAACTGGTGAACGGAATGAGCAGCAGTACCGGGGGGATCCGTGACACTATATCTTTCAAACTGTGCTCTTTCACAAAAGTTCTCAACCTATAACCTAAACTCAGCAAAAAAGAAATGTCCCTTTTTCAGGACCCTGTCTTTCAAAGATAATTAGTAAAAATCCAAATACCTTCACAGATCTTCATTGTAAAGGGTTTAAACACTGTTTCCCATGCTTGTTCAATGAACCATAAACAATTAATGAACATGCACCTGTGGAACGGTCGTTAAGACACTAACAGCTTACAGATGGTAGGCAATTAAGGTCACAGTTATGAAAACTTAGGACACTAAAGAGGCCTTTCTACTGACTCTGAAAAACACAAAAAGAGGAGAGTTTAGTCTAGGTCCGACAGGACCTCAGAGCGCCGTCACTCCCAGCATCCTTGCAGACAGCTCCCCCCAGGATGGCAACAACAACTGCCCGAGTTACACCAGGAACACACAATCCCTCCGTCAGTCCTCAGACTGTCCGCAATAGGCTGAGAGAGGCTGGACTGAGGGCTTGTAGGCCTGTTGTAAGGCAGGTCCTCACCAGACATCAATGGCAACAACGTCGCATATGGGCACAAACCCACCGTTGCTGGACCAGACAGGACTGGCAAAAAGTGCTCTTCACTGACGAGTCACGGTTTTGTCTCACCAGGGGTGATGGTCGGATTCGCGTTTATCGTCGAAGGAATGAGCGTTACACCGAGGCCTGTACTCTGGAGCGGTTTCGATTTGGAGGTGGAGGGTCCGTCATGGTCTGGGGCGGTGTGTCACAGCGTCATCGGACTGAGCTTGTTGTCATTGCAGGCAATCTCAACGCTTTGCATTAGAGGGAAGACATCCTCCTCCCTCATGTGGTACCCTTCCTGCAGGCTCATCCTGACATGACCCTCCAGCATGACAATGCCACCAGCCATACTGCTCATTCTGTTCGTGATTTCCTGCAAGACAGGAATGTCAGTGTTCTGCCATGGCCAGCGAAGAGCCCGGATCTCAATCCCATTGAGCACGTCTAGGACCTGTTGGATTGGAGGGTGAGGGCTAGGGCCATTCCCCCCAGAAATGTCTGGGAACTTGCAGGTGCCTTGGTGGAAGAGTGGGGTAACATCTCACAGCAAGAACTGGCAAATATGGTGCAGTCCATGAGGAGGAGATGCACTGCAGTACTTTATGCAGCTGGTGGCCACACCAGATACTGACTGTTACTTTTGACCCCCCCCCCCCCCCCACTTTGTTCAGGGACACATTATTCCATTTCTGTTAGTCACATGTCTGTGGCACTTGTTCAGTTTATGTCTCAGTTGTTGAATCTTGTTATTTTCATACAAATATGTACATATGTTAAGTTTGCTGAAAATAAACGCACGTTTATTTTTTTTGCTGAGTTTATATACTTATTATCGACACAGTATGTTTTACATTAGTCATTTTCTTGTTATTAGTTGTTATTAGTCCCAACCTTCAGCTCCATTCAACCCCTCCCATCTATCTCTTAACACCATCCATATTGGATTTCTATTTGAAATATATTTTTCAACTGTACTGTGATGTTTCACAAAATTGTTTCTACAAATTGAAAATAAACATTTTTGCTAAAAGTATTATTATATTATTGATTGATTGACTATGACTTTTCAGATCAACCAGTAGTGCTATCTATGGTCCTCTGTAGCTGAATTGGTAGAGCATGGCCCTTGTAACGCCAGGGTAGTGGGTTTGATCCCCGGGACCACCCATAAGTAAAAATGTATGCGCACATGACTTTAAGTCGCTTTAGATAAAAGCGTCTGCTAAATGGCATATTATTATCTGCAGGGTTAGCTCCAGGTAAATATTGCAATCCTTCAGACATTCCTGGACCTGTGACCAAAAACAAGCTAGAAATGGACAGTACCAAATCAAATGATCTAATTATTCTGTCTCTTTGCAGCAAAATCTGCAGAGCTGGAAAGACTGTATCCCCCATATAAATAACATTATATTGGTAGCAAGAATTTTGTATAATAATTTAAATAAAAAATTATACATTTTGAATCCTGCGTCGTTTTGCGTATCAGTTTATAAACCATTTGCCATGCAATCGATACGTCAAAAATCTCTTCCCAACTATTTTGCAATCTATATGGGATGGCTGTCAATCTTTGGTCGTTAAATGAAACTGATATCCTTTTTTATTTATCACAATTTTCTTTAACCAATTATGGTCTTTAATGCAGGGCCAACAGACAAGTTCCTTACTTTTTCCCCCTTCCACTTTCCTCTTCCATTTTTGCGGTAATGCTGCAATGATTTGGTTGTAATTTTTGGTAGAGCAGACATTTCCATATGTTTTTGTTAGCTGCATGTGTGACATAACTCCACCAGTCCTACCTATGATATCATTTACGAAGATTATACCTCTTTCTTTTTTTATATCAATTAGTATATTTGAGTTTAACCACAATCTTTCTTTTTTTAGGGGGTATTGTTGCATTATTTGTTCTGTCGTTTCTGGAGGATTAAATTGAAATTGCATCCAACTTTCTATGGCTTGTTTTAGAAATAGTGATATTTGGGAGATGATTTCCTTTTCAAACAACAAAGGTTTTGCCTTAGTTTTACTATTTGCTACATTGTAGAATAATAGTAAAGACATCAAAACTATGAAATAACACATATGGAATCATGTTAAACAAATCAAAATATATTTTACATTTGAGATTCTTCAAATAGCCACAATTTGCCTTGATGACAGCTTTGCACACTCCTGGCATTCTCTCAACCAGCTTCACCTAAAATGCTTTTCCAACAGTCTTGAAGGAGTTCCCACATATGCTGAGCACTTGTTGGCTGCTTTTCCTTCACTCTGCGGTCTGACTCATCCCAAACCATCTCAATTTGGTTGAGTTCGGGGGATTGTGGAGGCCAGGTCATCTGATGCAGCACTCCATCACTCTCCTTCTTGGTCAAATAGCCCTTACACAGCCTGGAGGTGTGTTGGGTCAATGTCCTGTTGAAAAACAAATAATGGGATGGCGTATCGCTGCAGAATGCTGTGGTAGCCATGCTGATTAAGTGTGCCTTGAATTCTAAATAAATCACAGACAGTGTCACCAGCAAAGGACCCCCTCACCATAACACCTCCTCCTCCATGCTTTACGGTGGGAAATACACATGCGGAGATCATCCGTTCACCCACACCGTGTCTCACAAAGCCACGGCAGTTGGAACCAAAAATCTCAAATTTGGACTCCAGACCAAAGGACACATTTCCACTGGTCTAATGCCCATTGCTTGTGTTTCTTGACCCAAGCAAGTCTCTTATTATTATTGGTGTCCTTTAGTAGTGGTTTCTTTGCAGCAGTTCGACCATGGAGGCCTGATTCACACAGTCTCCTCTGAACAGTTGATGTTGAGATGTGTGTGTTACTTGAGCTCTGTGAAGCATTTATTTGGGCTGCAATTTCTGAGGCTGGTAACTCTAATGAACTTATCCTCTGCAGCAGAGGTAACTCTGGGTCTTTCCACTCCTGTGGCGATCCTCATGAGAGCCAGTTTCATCATAGCGCTTGATGGTTTTTATGACTGAACTTGAAGAAACTTTTAAAGTTCTTGAAATGTTCCATATTGACCTTCATGTCTTAAAGTAATGATAGACAGTTGTTTCTCTTTGCTTATTTGAGCTGTTCTTGCCATAATATGGACTTCGTCTTTTACCAAATAGGGCTATCTTCTGTATACCCCCCCTACCTTGTCACAACACTACCGATTGGCTCAAACGCATTAAGAAGGAAATAAATTCCACAAATTAACTTTTAAGGAGGCACACCTGTTAATTGAAATGCATTCCAAGTGACTATCTCATGAAGCTGGTTGAGAGAATGCCAAGGGTGTGCAAAGCTGTCATCAAGGCAAAGGGTGGCTATTTGAAGAATCTCAAATCTCAAATATATTTTGATTTGTTTAACACTTTTTTGGTTACTACATGATTCCATATGTTTTATTTCATAGTTTTGATGTCTTCACTATTATTCTACAATGTAAAAAATAGTAAAAATAAAGAAAACCCTTGAATGAGTAGGTGTGTCAAGACTTTTGACTGGAAGTGTATATTTCAAGGGTTTTTCTTCATTTTTACATTGTAGAATAATAGTGAAGACATCAAAACTATGAAATAACACATATGGAATCATGTAGTAACCAAAAAAGTGTGCAATTTCTGAGGCTGGTAACTCTAATGAATAAAGACAAACCCTTGAATGAGTAGGTGTGTCCAAACTTTTGACTGGTAGTGTACATTGAGGTTCTTCGCTTAGGGTTTTTAAGGTACATACATAGGCCAGTGGAGGCTGGATGGAGGAGCTATAGGAGGACGGGTCATTGTAATGGCTGGAATGCAATAAATGGAACTGAGTCATACATGCGGTTTCCATAAGTTTGATACCATTCCATTTATTCCATTCCAGCCATTACAATGAGCCAGTCCTACATCTACTCCCACCAGCCTCCACTGACATAGGCTACATAAGTAGAGGTATTATCTATAAAGTGTATCCATATCAGATAGTGTGTAGAAGATAGTGAGTTGTGTTGATTGAGCTACATGAGAATTTGCATGAACGTACAGTAGTACTGATATACTGTATCTGTGTGAGAGTAAGTGAATTATGATTGCATATGTAATGGAACAGTGTGTATACAATGACTGTGTGTACACTGGGTGGTATTTCTCTCCAGGAGAGGAAGTAGAGCTGGCCCAGTGCATCACCCACACCAGTTCAATGGAGCATTGCATGTTCACCTCCAAGACTACAACAGTACCCACACACACAAACACACCCACCTGTGGAGAGAGATACAGAGAGATAGAGCGTAAGCATACATACATACACAAACAGTGCATTGCTGTGACTACTCATCCATTCTTGATAAAAATTATTTGAGTGTGTGGAGACTGAAGAGTTAGAATTACATGCACCTGTGTCTTGGTGTTTCTGTCCCACATTTGGACAGTTCTGTCATGGGACGCCGAGATGATCGTGCTGTTGGTGAGTCACTGTGTGCCTTGTCAAGATCCATCAAAATCATCATAATTGAAAAAAATAAATCAGTTTCATCAGAGGAAAAGGGAGAGATCTTCAGGTTTCCTCCTGCGCCAGGAGTTCATGTTTGGTGGTTGGTTGAACCGCATGTTTCCCTTGGAATCTACACACACCACCAACTCTGGAGACAGGACACAGAATAACAATGCAGTTAATACATTATTAATATAACAACTTGTTTACAGATGATTCACAAGATGTATCAAAATGTGTATGAGTTATGACGTTGTACTGCAGTGCAGTGCAGCTACTGTACCTCCCTCCACAGTCACTGCAGTTATCCAGCCACCTTTTCCCCCACTAGACTTGTCCATTTCTAGCTCAATGTCACCATATGGCCCATGGCATACTAGGGAAGGCAGATAGGACCATATTATCATCCGCCAATATAACTTATATCAAAACAATAATCCAAACAGCAGCAGTGTGGTCATTGATAATGACGATGATGATGAATGTGTTGGTGATGATGATGGTGGTAAACTCACCAAGAAGCCAAGCACAACCTGTCCTTTCTTCTCGCCCAGCAGTCAAGTGCTTTTTTCATTGTTGGCCACCATTCCAAGAATTTGCGTGTCATCCTTCGAACTGCAATTTAATCAGTTATGTACATTTCAAGTCAGTATTTATTAGTCTAGATCTGGTTTACTACATAATGATGTGTGTGTGTGCCTGCGTGTGGTTTACTTGTTAATTTGTCTATCAGCGTCAACGAGGACACGGATGATATTTCCATCCTCACAGGTTCCCAGCAGGATAGAGCAGTAGTACAGGTGCATCACTGGGGAAGACACTGAGTATATAGACACCTTCAACAGACTAGGGACAAAATGATGACAGTCTTTACCAGCAGGCATTGCAGGAGTACTAGAAAACATTATGACTAAAATGTAATCTACTGTATGTACTGCTGAACATTTCAAACATTTTCAACCAGCAAATGTAGATCAATTCTTATAAATTCAATCAAATTGTGCCAATATCAACATTTGCCATGGTGTGAGAACTTGAAATATAGGGGCCAAGAGCTGACCTTGCAGCATTGTGCTGAGGATTCCACTCCAGCCTCAACACAGTCAGAGAGCACTGCCTGCAGCTAACTGGCCATCATGCATGGAGCAGATCACTTTTACACTACTGTCAGACACCTGAGAGACACAAGCAAATCACAGATAAACCAACTGTTTTGTTAGTCACAGTGTGGCTCAGTTGGTAGAGCATGGCGCTTGCAACGCCAGGTTTGTGGGGTTGATTCACATGGGGTACCAGCATGAAAATATAAATGTTGTGCTAAGATCTATTTAGGTCAGGAGCTGGTTATAAGTTCTGTTCCTATCCAATAACAATGGACAAAAGGGTCCTATCTTGTCAGCCTTGTCAGTTTCAGTTCTCCAGTAAACTTGTGATTATCAACACTAACCTCATCGTTGTGGCGGCGGACAGCTAGCCTGTATCCCTCATCCAGTTGAGTGGCAATGTTCACTCTCCCCAAAGCAGACAATCTCAAACAGCTATCCATGTGGGTCTTTGACAGCTCATGTTTCTTAATCTTTCCTGAAAGATGGTGCATGTCCGTTACACACCAGTCGCTGTCCAAGCGGTGCTGTCTGCCGTGCCGCCTTCAGGGTGAAAGAGTAAGCAGGGGGTAGCAGAAGACTGCATTAGCTACATCGCAGCCTGCTAGCCAGGTTTTTCGTTCGTACCAATTTTTGGAAAATCCTCGGGTGTAGGACTTTCCGCCTTTAGTAGAAACCTGTTGAATTATTAAATTTGGTCTGGGAGGTCCTAATTGTTTCGTTGCCAATTTATCTTGATTTGTTCGCCGACAAAAAGTAACTTATTTCAAAGAGACAATCGAGTTGCACTGAACGCTATAGCCATCTTGATAGTAGTACGTGAATTGAATGACGCTGCTACCCGCTCTTTTCTTAGTTACGTTCATGGTTATGTTACGTATGACGAAAGCGCGTAAGTGCAAGCCCTCAGAAACCCATAGAGATTGTATTGAAAGCTCTGATATTTGAAAAAAATAGATTTTACATGGGAGTCTATGAGAGACTTCTGGGCGATTTTCAACCTGACTGAAATCGCCCCAAAAGGGGGGGGGGGGGGCATTTGAAGCACGACTTTAGCCTGATTGGACATTTAGTGGCAGATCAGACGTCTAGATTAGAACACTCATAACTACTGTTGCCGTGATATAATTGATTAGAAAAAAAATCCCTTCCTTTTCCCGTTTGGCAGTGCGTCGCCCATATCGCCCTAATGAACACACCGCCCCTGCACTGACTACTGTAAGTAGCTCTGGATAAGAGCGTCTACTAAAATGTAAAATGTGATAAACACACCAACAAAACAAGGTCCTGAATGGACGTTACTGGATGGAGATAGCTTTTTGTGGCCAACTACATAGTTGTGTTTCCATAAATCCACTCTGCCAGACTCATAGCCAGATATCAGCAGATCGCCACTCTAGGAGAAGCACAGAGCAGTAACAGTGCCCCTCTGGTTGGGAGGACTCTCTGGAGGAAAGAATAAAGAGGGGAAATTAATTTTTAAAAATAAGCAAAAAAACAACAAGCATGGAAATTGGACGATTTATTTAGGTTGATAAATAAATGTGTTACCTATTGCCATAGCAATGCTCCATTACATTTTACATTTTAGTAATTTAGCAGACGCTCTTATCCAGAGCGACTTACATTTAGTGAGTACATACATTTTTCATACTCCATAACCTCAGCGACCGATCTTCAGACACAGTGAGGAATGCCTGGACTCCTTCCTGCTTTGACACTGCTCTATGTATCACTCCGCCATGGCCTTGCAAGGTGCTGTAATGCTGTACCTAGAATCAGAGGCAAAGAGACAATCAGACCAAGCATCACTACATCTTTTATTGATATACATATCGGTTGATGTTATTGTTGAAGCATCTTATTTAAATCAAATCCTAAATCATGATCAAACTGCATTCATCTCACCTGGAAGGGGTGCCACAGCTTCACAGTTCCATCAGATGCCGTAGCACCCACCATTTCCTCCTGCTTAGTCTCCTTGGTCTTGTCTGAACATAAAATACATAGAAACGATATACAACATCACAAAATGGTATGTGTATATCATAGTATTTTTGAAAAGGCAATTCATATTATTATGTGTGTTTGTATTTAGTGAAGATCCAGTACCGGAGTCAGGTAGCACAGAGCAGTGGTGTATGTGTGACTTGTGAGCTAAAATCCTGCTGATTTCCATCCCTGAATCCCATTTCCACACGTGCCGCTCCCCCTCGGCACAGCCTGCTATCACAAACTCCCCCTGCGGACCTCCGAAGACAACATAATCAAGATAACAGAAACATCAGAACTTACTGTCATACTGTATTTTACCTGAAGACCCATCACAAACTCACCCTGAAGACAGATGTTTTTTTCCCCCTTAACACCTTCTACAATGTCACACCATCCATCTAGTTAGTACCATTAGAGGTCCCCACTGCCTCCCGCTGTTAGACTCACCAAGCAGCAGACTGCACTGAGGGAGGATCTCCCCAGGATCTTGCACACTGACTATTCTGTAGGTCCCAAACACAGATCTTGCAGTCACTGGAACAGCTCACCTGAGAGACAGAAGGACAGTCAGACAGTAAGTCACTCTGGTTTCATTTAGTAAAGTCTCACTAGTTGAAATGGGAATTATCAACAGATAAAAACAGGCAACAAAAGGACAAAGTAATAGAAACAAAGAACATACATCATACAGACACACTCACCACACTGTTTGGGCCTCAGACACAGACAGTTATCCAGTCTCCATGACAGTGTGGCAGATGTAGATAAACACACACACCTGAGAAGGTTTGGAGCCCAAACAATGGCGAGGTTCCGGGCATGCATGTTGGTGTGTGAGGAATAAGAAGCCATCTTGACAAGGTGACTCATCAGGAAATCTAGAGTTCTGAGAAACCAGGGGGAGGGAAAAGGGACAGAAAGAGAAGGAAGTGGTATAATTCTGTAGAGTTAGTTCGAAAACAGTTGAAACTATTGGAGAGAAAACTGCAAATGGCTAAATGTACAGTTCCCCTAGTTACAAACAGATGGTTCCAGCCATGTACAGTGCCTTCAGAAAGTATTCACACCACTTGACTTTTTCCACTTTGTTGTATTACAGCCTGAATTTAAAATGGATTCAATTTAGATTTTGTCATCACTGGCCTAATCACAATACTACATAATGTCAAAGTGGAATTATGTTAATAGAAATATGTCCAAATGAATAAAAAATGAAAACCTGAAATGTCTTGAGTCATATGTTGCACTCTTTCTCCGAGTTGTAAAAGCAAGCAGAACAGAAACTGGCTACTCTTTAGTTGACTGATGTAGATTGCAAGGTAATTGCTGTTTAACTTAACAGAAGAAAAAAAACTAAAATATTGTTTATTCCCAGTGCTGGGCTAGTAGTGTAATTGACATGTAACGTTAGCTTGCTAATGTTTCATCCCATCTTGACTGAGGTGAATAAATTAGCTAGCTAGTAGCTACCACAGCCAGTTCAGCTCTAGCCTGTAGCTATCTGTCAAATAGTGATATGAGGTGGCTATTATTACTATCTAACAGCTGTTGTTTGTATGGAAATGTTTTGTAGCCTTTTTGTCCCGTTTCAACAGAAGTAAATGAACTTAGCTACCTTTCGCCAGTTGATGTACCATTAGAGAGAGAGCTGGCCAAAAGTAGGTAATGTTATTATTTTTGCCTCATTCATACTAGACCTGAATCAAACAATGAAACCAGCGGCCAAGCGATTGAAGACCGATAATTCTGACGTTTTTTTTGTGCAATGTGAGTTTATTAGAGTCAATATAGCAATGTAATGTAATTGATTTGTCAGTTTCCCTAGCTAATTCCCTTAATTTCACACTGACACAGTAATAAACAGCTCTACAGGCTGTTGGTGCACCGTCAGTACACAACACTATAATCGTCATGTCTTAGCAGGATCAGACAGTCAGGGAAGACAAGTCTACCGAGCTCAGGTGTATTTTAAAGTATATTAACAATATCAGCTAATTATACAAAGTTCCATCTTGAGTTGATGGGTAGTCCCGTGTAGCTCAGTTGGTAGAGCATGGCGCTTGCATATGTTATGGTCTTGTGAAGGCTGGCTGAATTCTGGCAGTATGTCTTTTATCGCAGCATGTCTACAGATTCTCCCTTCTCCCTGATTTTGTTTGCTTGTAAATGTTGATACTGGAGACTGTTATCAAACGAAACTGTGTAACCAAGCATCTAAGGAATACATTGACTTTAATTGGAAGCATGGTTATCCTCCCACAATGTCATAATGGATGGCAGAAATGCCAAGCTATGTATCACTATATTTGATTTATTACAAGATTAAGGGTATACTGGGCAACTTTCATAAGGTCTGGATGCCTTATATGGAATAAAGTATGACAAAAGGAGTCTGTATTGAAAATAATAATAATAATAATAATAATATGCCACTTAGCAGACGCTTTTATCCAAAGCGACTTACAGTCATGCGTGCATACATATTTTACATGCCCACATCAGGAGAGATACTTATTTAGGCAATCCCTAGCTGCTGGGCTGCTCAGTCCTGGCCCTGGAGGTCTACAGTCCTTCTGGGTTATCACTCTGGCCTTGGCATAACACACCCAAAACCAATAATGAATGTTTCACTAAGATCCTAAAGCTGAGTGGGGTGTGTTGGATTGGGGCGCTGCAGGGCAGTGGTCCCCTAGGGGCAGGAAGAGGCAACCCAGCTATATTGTATGCAATTAAAAAGAGATCTACAATACTATTAGGCCTAGGAGATTATTATATGGAGGATATGCTGTTTCTGCGTGTTAATGCATATGTGTAGGTGCATGTGGGTTTTTTTTAAGTGGGGGGGGAAATTGTGTTGGGAGAGAGTTGAGGTATTAACTAGACTGGTGGGGGTTGGGCGTGTAGGCGGCTCAGGCTGGCTGGGCAGTCTGTCTGAAATTTGATATAGAGGATGTCTTAATAAAGACAAAAAAAGTATTTGTACTTGATTTTTGCACTTGAGTTAAAGGTGCAACACAATATTGATTATTTAATTAGCTTTGATCTAGTTCAGTCTTATCAATCACATATACGTATTTAACAATGATCTCTTACCTAGCTTGATGACTGGGGGCATGCTTACTTTTTGTTGTTCTAAATAGAGACGGCCACTTCTAAAACCAAAGTTGCGCCCCTGCGAATGGGGTATGGCAGCCGACGACCTTGCAAAGTCCCACTGCGGTTATGGAACGAAAACACTGGACACTTTAGAATGGGAAAAACCTTGTCTGGTCTGATGAATGCCGGTTCCTGCTGTTTCACGCTGATGGGAGGACTAGGGTATGGAGAAAACCACATGAGTACATGCATTCATCATGCTGCATTTCAACATCGCAGGCTGGTGGTGTGGGGTGTGTTTTCATGGCACACATTAGGCCCATTGATAAAAGTGGAGCAACATTCGAATGCCACAGGATATCTGAACATCATTGCCAATCAGGTGCATCCCTTCAAAGCAGCAGTGTATCCATCTGCAAATTGATTTTTCAGCAGGGTAATGCCCCATGCCACAAGGCTAGGATTGTCCAGGAATGGTTCCACGAACATGACAGTGAATTTAGCTTACTGCAGTAGCGCGCCCAGTCACCAGATCTCAATCCAATTGAGCATCGATGGGATGTGATGGAACGAGCTATTCGGAGTAGAGATCCACTACCAGCCAACTTGACACAGCTTTGGGATGCATTTGAGTCAACATGGGCCAGCATCCTTGTGGAATGCTTTTAACACCTTGTAGAGTCCATGCTCCAGCGAATTGAGGCTGTTGGGGGCAAAAGGGGGTGCAACTCAATATTAGGAAGGTGTTCTTAATGTTTTGTACACTCATTGTATTTTCTGTATAAATTGGTCAATGGTAACGTGATCATGAGTATTTCATATACAATTACAATGTGCTGTTAGTATTCTACACTGTTCTTTTCTTCATTGCAATTTATGCTTTATTGATTCACTCTGTGAAGTGCCTTGCTTTACTGTGCTATACTGAGCTGTGTTCTGAAATGTTCTGCTGGGTCATGCTGTCTTGTGTTGTGTTTGTGGCACTGTAAAGTAAGAAACCAGAAAAATCACCTTCTCAATATACATACACCAACACAACACTTAATGTGATCACTTAAAATCAAACTGTGCAGTGCTCACAATCTACAGCAATCATCACTCTCTTTACTTCCCCCTATCTTTATTCACAAAATAAACAGGACACACCCTTCACCCCAACACTCCCAGTCTCCCTCTGTGCCATGATCTGGGGACACATCAAATTCAATCACGCCTAGTCTTCCTATGTTGATGACACCCCAAACCACGGCTCTGGCTGTTCTCTGTGACTGATAGACGCCCTCCTCCCTGCCTCCTGGCCATTGTGCCCCTCTCATTGCAGTGGAAGTCAATTTAACTGTACGTTGTGACTGCAGGCCTGTCGTAGAACATGAAACCTCTGCGCCTGACCCTACCTCTCCACCCCCCTGACCCCTGACCCCTACCATCCCACCCCTACCTAACACACTGTCACTATTACTCCTCTCCAGTTTCGGGGTTACTTAGAAGTATAAACAATAATATGAAAAAGTAAGAAAGAGAGTTACGATTGTTCCTATCTTCACTCTGCACCGGCATTACCAAGCATCAGCAAGTGATGACACAAGAAATCACTAAACTTCCCCTGTTGACTTCCTGAGTCTCTCCTTTTCTCTCTCTGTATATCTCCCCTGTTATCTCTGCCTCTGTTGACTGGCAAATCAATGAACCAGTAAATCTTTCAAACTACCAATCATATTTATTTATCTTATCGATTTAGCCATCTATGGTATCTAATGATCTTTGATTCAGATTACCAGTTTTATACAGTACAAGTGTAGTGTCAGTTTAGACAATGTACAGTAAAAGTGTAATTTCCAGATGTCAAATGTAAAGTTGTATGAACATACATGTAAGATGTGAGCTAATACACTGAAACACATATTTGATTGCCTAGTTGAGTTAACATAACGTAACATTTTAAGCAGAGTTAAGTTATTAACCTGATTTGATATGATACTGTCCCTTGTGCCAAGAAGTGAAATCCCAGATAGACAAACACTAACTAGACAACATATACTAAATGGTTCCTATATACAGTGTATAAAACATTATGAATACCTGTTCTTTCTTTCTGACATAGACTGACCCTTATTAATGTTTCATCCACTTTAGGAAGGTGTTACTCAGTGTGTGTTCTTTATCTTAAAATGCAGATAGACTCCTTATTTAAATACATGGTTTTTATGATATTTTTCTTACCAGTTGTAAATAAATAGTAAAATGAATGTGAGGAGCCGTCAACAGTCAAACATGAAAACCATTTCACAAATCAATTAGGAGGAAAAGCTTGTCAAAATGTCTCAAAATACCTTCTGTACCACATTTTCACAAAGAAAGTGGTACAGAAAAACTATGCAATTATGTTTTATTTGTTCCATCTGGCCTGAGACAACATTAAACTTGTGTGTGGATCCCCAGGGTATGTGTGTACCACATTTTGAGACACTGGACTTTCTCCTATGTGAGTTCTCTGATGTGACTTCATACTGGAGCGCTGGGTGAAGCATTTCCCACATTGTGTGCACTCATAGGGCTTCTCCCCGCTGTGGACCACAGCATGTCTGATCAGATTGTACTGCTTGGTGAAATTCCTGCCACACTGTTCGCAGGTGTACGGTTTTTCTCCGGTGGTGCCGCCTGATCTCCACTGAGTCCTCATTCTCTTCACCATGTTTAAAACTACTGCGACTCAGGCTGTATCCAGAGAAGGTGGAGGTGGTGGCCATGTTTGACCCTGTCATGCACTCACTCATTCTCACTGTTGCTTCTGAAGCCCTGTACTGATGCTGCCTTGACTGTAGAGATAAATTATTTCCGTCATTATTTGAGTTCAGCCTCTCGCTGCTCTGTCTGTCTGGCATCTGTTGTCTAGTCTCATCAGCCAATGTCCTGACATGTCTTTTCATGTGTGCTGCTGCACTGAACATGTTAGCATGTTTCCCTATAGAAGAGTGAAGCGATGGCCCTACATCATCTGTCATAGTAGGAATGGATGGCAGCCCACTATGAGATGGGAAAATTGATTTATTCTGAGAGTACTCCTCTATCGCATGAAAGGAGAAATCTGGGTGGCCATCAGGGTCAGTGTCTCTGCCTGGATCCACAGAGGTCCACAGCTGCCGATCAGTCTCATCCATGACAAACTGGTCAGGTCCTGCCAGGGCTGTGGTCAGATCCAGCTCCTCCTTTTTCTCATCCTTCACCATCACTAGCTCTAGTGAGTCCTCGTCCTCGGCTGGCTGGTGCTGCTCTGGGTTGAACACCTTTGATTTCTCTGTAGACGTGAGCCGGGGTGTGCCTGGTTCCTCTGGACCATGATAATTGGGATAATGTTCCACTGAGTCTTCAGGAGATATGTTGGGTTGTGTGATGAAGTCCTCATCACAGTGCCGTTGCTCAAAGGATGGTGGTTGCCCAGGCTTGGAACCAGACTCTAAAGATTTGGGATAAACATGAAAGAAACATTACAAAAGACCCGTAACAGTTGCAAAACATGACTGCTTTAGAACTGACTTTGTGTGTACGTGCGCTCCATATGCCAGCCCAGAACATAAAACACTCAACACCAATGTAGCAATTTGGAACGTGCATACAACCACACCCAAACAGTCTTCCATAGACAGACAGAGCAGTACCCCTTATGTCAGCACCCACCCTCTCCAGTGATCCTGAGCTCTTCCTGAGGGTCAGTCTTCCACACATCCTCTGCTGTCTCCTCATCTTTGATCAGTATGGGTTCAGTCTCCGCTCTCTGCTCCACATCTGTAGGCTGTAACAGGGGACTGAGGTTATTACTCTGGACACACACCATATATAACCCTTTTCATACTGCAGTGACCTTGGTTTATAAGCAGGCCCTTTTCATGTCCAGAAAGTAAGTTGGATAGCTACCTGTTATTTTATCCAATTTACTTGGCATAGGCTACAGCCAGAAAGTAGCTTGTGTGATGTCTGGGTCAATAAACCGTTCAATACGAGAACTGTTGTTAACGTTCTCTCATTTATGATCTATCAAGGTCATTACATTGGTAACTGGTAATGTAGCGACCAGAGTGTAAATTACACCATGACATTTGGGGGGTATCTATTGAGTGTAAAAAAAATATATATATGGTACAATGACTTTTCAGGCTACAAAAATTTGTCAGCAGGACGCATCAATTAATGTAGGCCTAATCAATGGCAATCATGTCATGAGTTGAATCAAAACATGTTTTACACCCTAGTTCATGAGTTGTCCATAATTCATGAGTTAACGCTTGGAGTCTTCACAGATCATTTGACATAAAACACTACCTTTTTTGTTTACATTAATGACATTTATGAAAACATTTCTAATGGGCACACAACTCCAAAATAATGTAGGCCTATGCCATTGCAAAATCAAATGCTTCTAACCAAACGTTAACCTCTAATAACCAAAAGAGGCACCTTATAGGCCTACTGTCATTAACGTATAGCCTACTTGTTGGATGGATTGGATGCACATTGGTGTCTAGCTGTTGTCTAGTGATATTGTCGACCATCATCTGCTGATCCAGGAAAGAAAACAAATATTGATAGAAAATAAAGCTAAATAAATGGTCTACTACTTCTGGCCACAGATGGCACGGAGAACACCCATGCGCACCTGAAAAACTAAACAATGAGCGCTCTAAACAGCTGACTATCAAAAGCAAACAATGACAAATCAACAGATAAATCTAAAGCATTGGAATAAAGGCTATTTATCAAGGACGCATGGCAAACAAATGGCGAAAATGAGGAAGTACAAAGGAAAATCTATACATAAGGGAGCTCAGCTGAGGTCGAAATTTAGCACTACTGAGTGGACAGCACAGCCACATATAAATAAATGGTTTAAACCATGACAGAAAGGTGGGGATGTTTGTTTCATTTGGAAGCTTTTATTTTAATATTTACCACTGTAAAACATATTTACCACTACATTTTAAACAAATAGGAGAATGGTTAAATTAGCATTATTTAGAGACCCTCCCAAAGTTGGACTTTTGTTGCATTTAGGAGAGCGGATCTTGTTTATAAGGGCGAATCTCGACTCTGCCACTGGAGTATGCTTTTGTGGCACAGTCGATTGGCTCGCAGGGCTTCTGGCCAGAAGGTTGAGGGTTTGAGCCATACTCCCTGCTGGTTTCATTGCAATACTAATGAATCACACAAAAACGGTAAATATTCCAATAACAGAATTGATCCAAGAGGACATCAGATCTTTGTAATTGTAAAAGGTGATGCATCACACCTGGGGTTGAGAGTCCTCTCCAACAGCCATCTCTCCGTCTCTCCACTGTGAGCTATTGCTCTGCTTGTTCAAAACAACCTTGACTGGATATGAAGATCTCTCTGATGCCATTGGGTAAAAAACTGGAAATTAATTGTATTCGGTCAAATATTAGGGCTATTCACACATTTGGGCCTTTCAATATGCAATCGATTTATCATCAATAACACATCTACTACCTTTTCTTCTGACTCGTCCTCGTGTCTTCTTCAGCTCGCTCTCCATCATCTGACACTTCCTTTTCAGTACATCAATATCTCGCTGGCTTTGGGTCATTTCCAAACGTATAACTGCACAGCTATCATCAACACGTTTGTTTATTTCTGCTACAGCTGCTTTAGCTAATACCTCCATAATGGATACCAACTGCTCCTGAAAATTGCAGCTTGCCATCTTGTCCAGCCCAAATTACAGATATGTATTCTCTGTGTTTTAGTAAAAAGTGCAATAAACAATTCGTAGATGATGATAAATGGCAACAACGTTTCAAGTGGGAGATGCGTGCGCAAATGCAATCACACTTCCGTTCAACTCGTGACGTAAACATTTATTACCGTAAATATGAGACCGCAACAGCCCTTGAAAATGTGGTAGTTTTAGCAACTTCCAGGCAAATACCAGTGTCTATTCTCCAGGGTGTATTCTAGTCTGCCTGTAGGGTAGCCATATCTATTGACCAAAAAAATGACGTTTTACGATCTGAATAAAGCATATCTCTTTTTAGTCAATAGATATGGCTACATGTATGGGAGGGAGAGTGTAGTGCAATGCCGTGGCTCACATGGTTATTATGCATAAAAGGCTATAGCTGCATAATGCACTGTGGTCAAATGTAAAATACAAATCCACTTTCTTCAACCATTCACAAACACTCATGGTTTATATATGATCAAATATTGTCATGTCCATTCTCATCAACACAACCTAATAAAACCATTCTGAAAATGTGGCATGGTATTTATTAAAGGATAGAACAAGCAATATACTTATTTGACACACAGTTAGGGAACAACGACGATAAACTAGTTTCATGTAAACTTAATTTCATTATATATTTCAAGTAACTATTGCATGCTACATGCTCCAAATTTGAACCCGAACGGACCTGATCATTAAAAAAGGGGGGACCCCGATGGACCCGAGAACAATCAAACCCAATCCTGAACGGACCCGACTACAACCAACCTGTCCTAGACCAGACCCGATTGGACCTAATTGAAAAAATATATATGTTTATCAGACAAGTGGCTCTTCTGGTTAGCGAATATGTCTTTATATGTTGTCTAGGACTTCTATAAGTCAATACATTCACCTTATTAGTGTAAAGTAAATATACTATAGGCTATGCAGAGCCGTGGTCAGGTCCATTCGGGTCTATCAGCTGTAGTTACATAGACCCGAGACCCAACCTGGCTGTTGTTACATAGAACAGAACCCGACCCAAGTTAAAAGTTCGAATTTTGGACCCAGACCCACTGGGTCGGGTCTCGGGTATACGGGTGGACTCGTGAAGACATGCATTATAGCTGATTTACATTCAGAGGTTCTTCTCTTAGGGCTTTTAAGGCACACACATATATAAGTAGAGTTATTAGATATAAAGTGTATCCATATCAGATAGTGTGTAGAAGATAGTGAGTAGTGTTGATTGACCTACATGAAAGAATATGCATAAAAGTACAGTAGTACTGATATACTGTATCTGTGTGAGAGTAAGTGAATTATGATTGCATATGTTATGGAACAGTGTGTATACAATGACTGTGTGTACACTGGGTGGTATTTCTCTCCAGGAGAGGAAGTAGAGCTGGCCCAGTGCATCACCCACACCAGTTCAATGGAGCAGTGCGGTTTCACCTCCAAGACTACAACAGTACCCACACACACACACCTGTAGAGAGATAAAGTGTAAGCATACAGACAAACATACATACATACATACATACATACATACATACATACATACACAAACAGTGCATTGCTGTGACTACTCCTCCATTCTTGATAAAAAAATTATTTGAGTGCATGGAAACTGAAGAGTTAGAATTCATGCACCTGTTACTTGATGTTTCTGTCCCACACTTTGACAGTTCTGTCATGGGACGCCGAGATGATCATGCTGTTGGCGAATCACAGTACACTGATCCTGTCACTGTGTGCCTAGGGAATATCCATCAAAATCATCATCATCATCATTGGAAAAAAAGACATCAGTTTCAGAGGAAAATATCTTACAGGTTTCGTGCTGCTCCAGGAGTTGATGTTTGGTGGCTGGTTGAACCACATGTTTCCCTTGGAATCTACACACACCACCAACTCTAGAGACAGCACACAGAATAACAGTGCAGTTAATAAATTATTCATATAACAACATTTTTACAGATGATTCATCAAAATGTGTATGAGTTATGACGTTGTACTGCAGTGCAGTGCAGCTACTGTACCTCCCTCCACAGTCACTGCAGTTATCCAGCCACCTTTTCCCCCACTAGACTTGTCCATTTCTAGCTCAATGTCACCACATGATGAAGACAGATCAGTATTTGGGCCCATGACATAATAGGAAAGACAGTTATGACCATATTATCAGTCACCAATATAACTTACAGTACCAGTCAAAAGTTTGGACACACCTACTCATTCAAGGGTTTTTCTTTTATTTTTACTGGTTGAGAGAATGCCAAGAGTGTGCAAAGCTGTCATCAAGGCAAAGGGTGGCTATTTGAAGAATCTCAAATATAAAATGTATTTGGATTTGTTTAACACTTCTTTGGTTACTACATGATTCCATGTGTTATTTCATAGTTTTGATGTCTTCACTATTATTCTAGAATGTAGAAAAAAGTTTTAAAAAAAGAAAAACCCTTGAATGAGTAGGTGTGTCCAAACTTTTGACTGGTACTGTATATCAAAACAATAATCCAAAGAGTAGCAGTGTGTTCATTGATAATGACGATGATGATGAATTTGTCAGTGATGATGATGATGGTAAACTCACCAAGAAGCCAAGCACAACCTGTCCTTTCTTCTTGTCCACCAGCCAATATCTTTTTGATACAGTGTGCACTAATGAACATGACCCTGGTATTTGGCAGACAGAGACTAGGGAGGAAAATATCATGTATCTGAATCAGGAAACAGCTGGGGCACGTGGGTGAGGATGAATTCCACCATGATGGACTGGACCCTCACCTCTATAAAGACTGCTGTACTGTTAAACCCTGAAGCCTCAATGTCTTTTGACCTGTAAACAGCCTCAGAGGGTTAAACAACGTTGAACAATGCAAACACACTGTTTTAACCATCTCTATCTAGTTCATGTCTTTCTCTCTCATGTAGATAAATACACACACGAGAAGGTTTGGAGCCCAAACAATGGCGAGGTTCCGGGCATGCATGTTGGTGTGTGAGGAATAAGAAGCCATCTTGACAAGGTGATGCATCAGGAACTCTAGAGTTCTGAGAAACCAGGGGGAGGGAGAAGGGGCAGAGAGAGAAGAAAATGGGTTTAAGTTTGTAGATTTAGTTTGAAAACAGCTTAAACTATTGGAGAAAAACGACACAAGGCACAATTTTAAATCCAATTTACAAACAGATGGTTCCATTCATGTAATATATGGAAACGTTGCAAACATTTACTCTGTCTCTATAAAAGTAGGAGAAATTAGTGAATAGGTGGAGGTTTACCTGCAATGCAGGTAACTCCTTCAGCACATCCTTGATCTTCACTAGCATCTCCTCCTCCAGCTGAATCGCCACAGCTTCCTATGGGGAAAGAAGGTGTGAGGTTGATACAAAAAGCAATATGCCATTTTATGCTGGGTTCCCATTCAGTAGGTATGAAATGGGAGAAAATGTTGACATTTTGAACCTCTACTACCTGAACTTGTCCAATAGAAACACCACTTCTCGTTTTCCCTGTCAGAATGCTTTCTCCCCTTCGCTCCAACTGAATTAAATTACTGTATCTGAATTACTATCAAGTAATGTACTAAGACAGGTAGGGGAGAGTGGGGTAAGTTGAGCCACCTTTGTTTCTAGGAGAAAAATAAATCATTTGACCAAATACTTTGGAAGAGGTCATCATTTCATGGAGCCTCTAATGGAAGAAACCACATGAAAAAAGTGGTAAGCAATAGTAAGGTCAAAAAAATGGATTTTCACCAAGTCAAATGAATGTATTGTGTTAGAGGTTTCATGATGCTTGTATCTAAACCAAAGCAGATAACTTTAGGATTGTTCTATACATCAGTTGGGGTTTCTCTAAGCTTCAATATGAGGTCCTAAAACCTAGCACAAAAGTGCGTTCTTGTAGCTGTGTGGGCTAATATAGTCAAAATGTTTGCTTTGGGGTAAGTTGAGCCAATGGTTGAGCCAATGACAAGTTGAGCAAAGTGTTTTCTTCTTAACATAGGGCCTAGCCTATGTTAAAAGTGTAAAAAGAAGTACAAAGTGTTTGTTAAGTGTTAAGTCTGTGTTAATAGATGCTTAAAATGATTAAAAGTCAAAAAAGCTATTGTGATTGTGTTGAATTGTGTTTGGGAAATAAAGGTAGACATGGTTTTAAAAAGGTAGTGGTAATATTTAATTCAGTAAAGACATTTGTAGGTGGCTTAACTTACCTTGTCCCGCCACTCAACTTACTCCATACCCGGGGAAAGTTGTGCAAGGAGACCACATTTTTTTGGACAAGCTTTTGATTATTTACAGGGATACATAACATTTACATTAATTTTTTGTCATTTAGCAGACGCTCTTACAGTTAGCGCATACATTATTTTATCGAACCCACAACCCTGGCGTTGCAAACGCCATGCTCTACCAACTGAGCTACATCCCCTGCCGGCCATTCCCTCCCCTACCCTGGGCCAATTGTGCGCCGCCCCATGGGTCTCCCGGTCGCGGCCGGCTACGACAGAGCCTGGATTCGAACCAGGATCTCTAGTGGCACAGCTAGCACTGCGATGCAGTGCCTTAGACCACTGCGCCACTCGCATCCAGAAATATACAGTGAGTGTACAAAACGTTAAAAGCACCTACCTAATATTGAGTTGAACCTCCTTTTGCCCTCAGGACAGCCACAATTCGTCGGGGCATGGACTACAAGGTGTCAAAAGCATTCCACAGGGATGCTGGCCCACGGTTTCGTCAAATTGGCTGGATGTCCTTTGGGGGGTGGATACACAAGGGAAACCCCAGCAGCGTTGTAGTTCTTGACACACTCAAACAGGTGCACCTGGCACCTACTACCATACCCTGTTCAAAGGCACTTAAATATTTTGTCTTGCCAATTCACCCTCTAAATGGTACACATACACAATCCATATCTCAATTGTCTCAAAGCTTAAAAATCATTATTTAACCTTTCTCCTCCCCTTCATCTACACTGATTGAAGTGGATTTAACAGGTGACATCAATAAGGGATCATAGCTTTTACCTGGTCAGTCTATGTCATGTTCCTAATGTTTTGTACACTCAGTGCATGTCGATATCTTTGTTAGAAAGAATACTATATTTCCCTTGATGGAGTGATGCTGAATGTAAAAATGTACCTGACTCTCCCCTACTCACAGCATAGTTGCCATAGAGCTGGTATGTGAGGAGAGGATTGGGCAACTGAAGTAGGCCTTGCAGAGAGAGCAGAGGGTGAATGTCTTGCAGGTACACGTCCTTATTGAGATCTGGGGTCCCCTCACTGTCAAACTCACCAGTTTGGAAACAAACACATTACATTTTACTGCTGTACTCGACCACACACACTCACGCTCGCGCACACACACATACGAGACACAAACACACACACGCTTACCTTAGTTTCTGTGTGTTGGATGACACCTCAGATAGCCTGTAGATCCTATCTACAACCCCATGCTTCTCAATGAATTCACTGCAGCTTCGCAGCACCTGAGGAACTGAGAGGGAGACAAGATGATAATATTCTACAGAACTGACATGGATGAACAACTGTAGGCTGATATTTAACATATTCAAACATATTCTAAAAGACTGAGGGAACTTGGGACTTACTCTCCTGACAATTTGTAGCCAGGTGGTCCAACAGGTCACAGCCAAACACTTTCTCATTGTTCCTTCCTTTTCTCCGGAGTCTCCAAAGCGACTTACAGTCATGCGTGCATACATTTTTTTTTTTTTTTGTGAAATTTTCTCCTGCCTTAACCTCTCACATCCAACCCTGTTGTCAACTATGTGTGTATATGTGTGTCTAATATATGTATTTTCTGTATGAATTGGTCAATGGTAACCAGTGGCAATTTTAGCATGTAAATCTTGGTGGGGCAAACCCCCCAGAAATGTAGGGGATGCATGCCAGCAAAGCCACTACACAACACAACACAACACTATACAATACATTCATTATACTACACTGCTCAAAAAAATAAAGGGGACACTAAAATAACACATCCTAGATCTGAATGAATGAAATAATCTAATTAAATACTTTTTTCTTTACATAGTTGAATGTGCTGACAACAAAATCACACAATAATTATCAATGGAAATCAAATGTATCAACCCATGGAGGTCTGGATTTGGAGTCACCCTCAAAATTAAAGTGGAAAACCACACTATAGGCTGATCCAACTTTGATGTAATGTCCTTAAAATAAGTCAAAATGAGGCCTCCAAAGTGTGGCCTCCACGTGCCTGTATGACCTCCCTACAATGCCTGGGCATGCTCCTGATGAGGTGGCGGATGGTCTCCTGAGGGATCTCCTCCCAGACCTGGACTAAAGCATCCGCCAACTCCTGGACAGTCTGTGGTGCAACGTGGCGTTGGTGGATGGAGCGAGACATGATGTCCCAGATGTGCTCAATTGGATTCAGGTCTGGGGAACGGGCGGGCCAGTCCATAGCATCAATGCCTTCCTCTTGCAGGAACTGCTGACACACTCCAGCCACATGAGGTCTAGCATTGTCTTGCATTAGGAGGAACCCAGGGCCAACCGCACCAGCATATGGTCTCACAAGGGGTCTGAGGATCTCATCTCGGTACCTAATGGCAGTCAGGCTACCTCTGGCGAGCACATGGACGGCTGTGCGGCCCCCCAAAGAAATGCCACCCCACACCATGACTGACCCACCGCCAAACCGGTCATGCTGGAGGATGTTGCAGGCAGCAGAACGTTCTCCACGGCGTCTCCAGACTCTGTCACGTCTGTCACGTTCTCAGTGTGAACCTGCTTTCATCTGTGAAGAGCACAGGGCACCAGTGGCGAATTTGCCAATCTTGGTGTTCTCTGGCAAATGCCAAACGTCCTGCACGGTGTTGGGCTGTAAGCACAACCCCCACCTGTGGATGTCGGGCCCTCATACCACCCTCATGGAGTCTGTTTCTGACCGTTTGAGCAGACACATGCACATTTGTGGCCTGCTGGAGGTCATTTTGCAGGGCTCTGGCAGTGCTCCTCCTGCTCCTCCTTGCACAAAGGCGGAGGTAGCAGTCCTGCTGCTGGGTTGTCACCCTCCAACGGCCTCCTCCACGTCTCCTGATGTACTGGCCTGTCTCCTGGTAGCGCCTCCATGCTCTGGACACTACGCTGACAGACACAGCAAACCTTCTTGCCACAGCTCGCATTGATGTGCCATCCTGGATGAGCTGCACTACCTGAGCCACTTGTGTGGGTTGTAGATTCCGTCTCATGCTACCACTAGAGTGAAAGCACCGCCAGCATTCAAAAGTGACCAAAACATCAGCCAGGAAGCATAGGAACTGAGAAGTGGTCTGTAGTCACCACCTGCAGAACCACTTCTTTATTGGGGGTGTCTTGCTAATTGCCTATAATTTCCACCTGTTGTCTATTCCATTTGCACAACAGCATGTGAAATGTATTGTCAATCAGTGTTGCTTCCTAAGTCGACAGTTTGATTTCACAGAAGTGTGATTGACTTGGAGTTACATTGTGTTGTTTAAGTGTTCCCTTTATTTTTTTTTGCAGTGTATAACGGTGACAAACGGTGCTCACAAACTGTTAGGGCCTACATAAAGCTGTCCCAACAGCAGAGTTCTCTTTTCAGCACCATGGAGTGAATCATTACCACTGATACACCTGGCTATCAGCGGAGCCTTGTCTGGCAGCGAAACAGTTAATTCAGCCTCATTTACTCATTTACATAGCTGATATGGCTGACTTGCTTAAACAAATGTGGTTTCTACTGACAATTGAGATGTACAAACTATGGCATAAGGGGACGACGAGCGGATAAGAGGCAATCCGTAATTTTGATTAAGACATTAATGAGCGAGCTAGGATGGACGTAGTCAAAATAACTATTTGTTCAGCACTTTTGAGATGTACAGCAACAGAATTCAGAACATGGGCCGTTCCTACAGTATTCTCCCTGTACAGCAAGTCAGAACCGTAGGATAAATAAAGGGGGCATATAAGCAGACAATGAAAGTTCTTACAATATTCGATGATGACATTTCTCTAAAACAGGCTATAGGCTACATGTGCACCACCAACTCAGAACAGTAGGCTAAGTTATGAGGGGGAAAGGGACCAAATTATTAGGGTGAGGCACATGGGCTACTAACAGCTTACTACACAACATACACTTAGTATTCATTTCTTGGCTCCAGTATACATATCTCCCTGGCATATTACATCATTTATGCAGCAGCATACAATACATTTTTGGACTCACCTTGTTGTGCTGTGCTCACTTGAACAGGAAGGTGGCGAGGCGGTCCTTCGTGGGCAAATTTTGTCAATAAACTTTGTCATCAAAGTCTAGCATTCTCTGGATTTATGGTGCTTTCAAGACAACTGGGAACTTGGAAAATAACAAGGTTGAATCATGACGTCAGTGATCTTCAGGTCAGAGCTCTAGAAAGAGGCCCGATTTCCCATTGTGGAATTCCGAGTTGGATGACTGTTCAAAACATATTTTCCCAGTCGGAGCTCGTTTTTTTCCTGAGTTCCCAGTTGTCTGAAAGTCAGAAATTTCCCAGTTCCGAGTTTCCAGTTGTGTGGAACACGGCAGAAGTCATGCTGGATTGACAGCATGGCCAATGTATTCAACCTTTTCTGGCACATCGTTTTGAATGTTTTTCCTTTTAAGCTTGGAAAAGAGACCCTTAAACCCAGACTTGGACCACACACCCACTCCACTGAATAGCAGGCTAGTGATTGCTTTGCAACGATTGCAATTAGCCACTGATTCCTTCCAAACCACTCATTGTTGAATTTGCGATTTATGTCCAATGGCCGATGAGCACCGATATGTTTTATCTATAATTTCTCTTCATATGACAAGGATTGAAAAGGATTTGTCAGTAGATTGTCGACTTGATTCATGGTGATGACTGCTAGCTTGCAAGCTAAGATTTTTAAAGTAGGATGTTGACATGATTAGTCCAATCAAAGCTAAGGGAGATATAACGTAATTTGACATCATTTTGTCTGTGGCCAATGACCTTGAGCCTTCTTGGATGGGCACTTCTAATGTAACTCTATGGCAGCACCCAAGGGGCTTGAATTTTTTCGCTCTAACCGTAGATTCTGCGGTGACAGAGAGTCCCCATGAGTGACAGAACACTGAGCCAATCACAGCACAACTAGAGAACATTACCAACCCTTACACTCCGTATTTTCCGCTGGCTGCCCCACCACCACCACAGAAAGCTAGGCTGAAACACCTGCATTTTGGAGCTGCCTTACTCAAGAAAGCAAAAAAAGAGACCATGTTTGTATGCGGCTTTATTAATTAATTCAATGATTTTATTTTTTTTGCAAACTTTTATATGACACTTATTAATGACAAAAAAACATGCAAAACAGGCAACAGGTCGCCATTGATGGTTACGTGACCATGAGGATTTCATATACATTTACAATGTGCTGTTCATATTATACGCTGTGTTGTTTTCTTCATTGCTTTACTGTGCTATACTGAGCTGTGTTTTGAGCCATTCTGCTGTGTCATGCTGTCTTGTGTTGTGTTTGTGGCACTGAAGTAAAGTAAGAAAACAGCTAAATCCTCTTCTCAATATGTGTACACCAACACAACACTTAATGTGATCACTTAAAATCTAAATGTACATCGCTCACAATGTACAGCATACATCTCTCTTCACTTCCCCATAATGTATTTTCTTCCACAAAATAAACAGGCCACACCTTTCACCCCAACACTCCTAGTCTCCCTCTCAGTGCAGTGATCCGAGACCACTTCTGTTTTTTTGTGTGTGTGGGGGGGGGGGGGGGGGGGGGGGGGGGGGTTGGATAAATGCCGAAAATAAGGTCAGTGGTAAACACAGGCTTAGGAGCTCTTATACGTTTTGTGCTAAGAGATAATCTTCATCAGTTAATGTTAATTTTGAAGCATTTACAGAATGTCATCAAAAACAAACACATAAAGGCTTCATAATACTTAAAGGTCATGTTAACTGAAAGACATTATTTAATATAATAACTAATATAAGGTCTCCTATGCCTGTGTTAACCTCAGACCATGCCTGTGTTAACCGCAGACCTTATTTTTGGCGTATTTTCCAAAATCCCCATAGGCTTTGACCAACGAGCCATGGCTAACTCATTTCCGTTTTTTAGGACTACAAGCTAGCGAGCTCTACTGTGGCCCTCTCACTGCAGCGGAAGTCAATTCAACTGCGCGTTGTGACTGCAGGCCGGTTGTAGAACATGAAGCCTCTGAACCTGACCACACCTCTCCATTCCCCTGACCCCTACCATCCCACCCCTAACACATTGTCACTATCACTCCTCTCGAGTTTCGGAGTGACGTAGAGTTAAACACAAGAATAAGAAAGAATAAGAAAGAGAGGTAAGACTGCTCCTACCTTCACTTCGCACCGGCACAACCAAGACGCAGCAACCTACCGCGTCTGTTGATTGGCAAATCATTGAACCAGTGAATAACTCACACCAATCATATCAATTTATTTATATTATCTATTTAGCTATCTACAGCAGGGATTGGCAACTGGCGGCTCACCTGTTGTAGGCCCACAGATCAATTTCCAAAAAAACTAAAAAAATATACACACAAGGCCCCAAAAAGTTTAGGGCTGGCTCGGACTGTGTGGGTATGGATGTGGGTACGTAGACACGAGAGCCACTGCGGCCCCTCATGATGAGTTCACATATTTTGTGGCCCCCACCCCCATCAAACTTGCCCATCCTTGATCTACAGTATCTAATGGTCTTTGATTCAGATTACCAGTTTTATACAGTACCGGTGCAGCGTCAGTTTAGTCAATGTACACAGCAAAAGTGTTGTTTCTAAACGTAAAATGTAAAGCTGTAAGAGCATGTATAGTATATTACACTGAAACAAATATGTCGTTGCCTAGTTTTGAGTAACTAAACATTTTAAGGCAGCAGAGTAACATGAAAATATAACTTGGGAAATCAAGTTGAGTTATTAACCTGACCTGATATGAGACTGTCCCTTGTGCCAAGAAGTAACATCCCAGATAGACAAACACTAACTAGACAACACATACTAAATGGTTCCTACTGTATTATTTATCTAAAATCACAGACTGACTCTGTCATTAAATACATTTTTATGAATATAACATGTTTGCATTTCTGTACCACAAAATCATAATGTTACCAGTTATAAATAGGTTGTTAAAATGACAGTTAGGAGCCACAGTTAGGAGAACAGAAACCATTTCACAAATAAATTGGGAGAAAAATATTGTACAAATGTCTCAAAATACCTTCTGTACCAATTTTTCACATACAAAGTGTTATAGAACAATTATGCCCCTATTTGTCCAACCTGGTCTGAGACAACATAACACTTGTGTGTGGATCCCCGGGGTATCGGGGTACCACGTATTGAGACACTGGATTCTCTCCTATGTGAGTTCTCTGATGTAACTTCATACTGGAACGCCGGGTGAAGCATTTCCCACACTGTGTGCACTCGTATGGCTTCTCCCCGCTGTGGACCACAGCATGTCTGATCAGGTTCCACTGCTTGGTGAAACTCCTGCCACACTGTTCGCAGGTGTGCGGTTTCTCTCTGAAACACTTCTCGGTGGTGCCGACCGACCTCCACTGAGTCCTCATTCTCTTCACCATGTTAAAACTACTGCGACTCAGGCTGTATCCAGAGAAGGTGGAGGTGGTGGCCATGTTTGACCCTGTCATGCACTCACTCATTCTCACTGTTGCTTCTGAAGCCCTGTACTGATGCTGCCTTGACTGTAGTGCTAAATTATTTCCGTCATTACTTGAGTTCAGCCTCTCGCTGTTCTGTCTGTCTGGCATCTGTTGTCTAGTCTCATCAGCCAATGTCCTGACATGTCTTTTCATGTGTGCTGCTGCACTGAACATGTTAGCATGTGGTTTCCCTATAGAAGAGTGAAGTGATGGCCCTACATCATCTGTCATAGTAGGAACGGATGGCAGCCCACTATGAGATGGGAAAATAGAGATATTCTGAGAGTACTCTTCTGAAGCATGAAAGGAGAAAATTGGGTGGCCATCAGGGTCAGTGTCTCTGCCTGGATCCACAGATGTCCACAGATGCCCATCAGTCTCATCCATGACAAACTGGTCAGGTCCTGCCAGGGCTGTGGTCTGATCCAACTCCTCCTCTTTCTCGTCCTTCACCATCACTAGCTCTAGTGAGTCCTCATCTGGCAGGTGCTGCTCTGTGCTGAACACCTCTGTAGATGTGAGCCGGGGTGTGTCTGGATGTTCAGAATTGGAGTATTCAGGAGATATGTTGGGTTGTGTGATGAAGTCCTCATCACAGTGCCGTTGCTCAAAGGATGGTGGTTGCCCAGGCTTGGAACCAGACTCTGAGGATAAACATTACAAAAGACCCTTAACAGTTGCAAAACATGACTGCTTTAGAACTGACTTTGTGTGTACGTGCGCTCCATATGCCAACCCAGAACAGAAAACACCCAACGCCAACTAGCAATTTGGAACGTGCATACCACCACACCATACAAAGTCTTCCATAGACAGACAGAGCAGTACCCCTTATGTCAGCACCCACCCTCTCCAGTGATTCTGAGCTCTTCCTGAGGGTCAGTCTTCCACACATCCTCTGCTGTCTCCTCATCTTTGATCAGTATGGGTTCAGTCTCCGTTCTCTGCTCCACATCTGTAGGCTGTAACAGGGGACTGAGGTTATTACTCTGGACACACACCATATATAACCCTTTTCATACTAATAAGTCACACAAAAGCGGTAAATTCTCCTGATATTCCAATAACAGAATTGATCCAAGAAGTCAGGTCTCTAACTGTAACAGGTGATGTATCACACCTGGGGTTGAGAGTCCTCTCCAACAGCCACCTCTCCATCTCTCCACTGTGAGTTACTCCTCTGCTTGTTCAAAACAATCTTGACTGGATATGAAGATCTCTCTGATGCCATGGGGTAAAAAACTTGAAAATAATTGTATTCAGTCATATTAGGGCTGTTCACACATTTGGGTTTTGCATATGCAATCAATTTGTCATGAATAACACATTACCTTTTCTCCTGACTCGTGTCTTCTTCAGCTCGCCCTCCATCACTTGACACTTCCTTTTCAGTACATCGATATCTCGCTGGCTTTGGGTCATTTCCAAACGTATAACTGCACAGCTATCATCAACTCGTTTGTTTATTTCTGCTACAGCTGCTTTAGCTAATACCTCCATAATGGATACCATCTGCGCCTGAAAATTGCAGCTGGCCATATTTTCCAGCCCAAATTACAGATTTGTATTCTCTGTGTTAAGTAAATAGTCTACAATTTCCAAGCTAATGTGCAATAAACAATCCGTAGATGTTGATAAACGGCAACAATATTCCTTGTGGGAGATGCGTGGCAATTGCAATCGCGCTTCCCTTCAACACGTGACATAAATATGTACTACCGTAAATATGAGACTGCAACAGCCCTTCAAAATTGGTAGAATTATCATTGGCCAGGTAAAAACGAGGGTCTGTTCTAGTCTGCATGTAGAGAGTGCCACTAGTTTCGTGTAAACTTTAAATAAACTTCATTTCATGATATATTTCAAGTAACTATTGCATACTACATTAATTATAGCTGATTAACATTAAGAGGTTATTCTCTTAGGGTTTTTAAGGCACATACATATACACGGAGTGCACAAAACATTAGGATGCCTGAGCTTTCCATGTAATCGCTTTCACCTGGATAGTTTATGATCCCTTATTGGTGTCACCTGTTAAATCCACTTCAATCAGTGTAGATGAAGGGGAGAAGACGGGTTAAAGAAGGATTTTTAATCCTTGAGACATGGATTGTTTATTTGTGCCATTCAGAGGGTGAATCGGCAAGACAAAATATTTAAGTGCCTTTGAATGGGGTATGGTAGTAGGTGCCAGGTGCACTGGTTTGAGTGTGTCAAGAACTGCAACGCTGCTGGGTTTTTCACGCTCAACCGTTTCCCGTGTGTATCAAGAATGGGCCACCACCCAAAGGATATCCAGCCAACTTGATGCATCTGTGGGAAGCATTAGAGTCAATAAATCAAATGGGCCAGCATCCATGTGGAATGCTTTTGACACTTTGTAGAGTCCATGCCCCGACGAATTGAGGCTGTTCTGAGGGCAAAAGTGGGGTGCAACTCAATAAGAAAGGTGTTCCTAATGTTTTGTACACTCAGTGTAGCAGTATTAGACTACATTTTTTATATTTTAGTCATTTAGCAGACGCTCTTATCCAGAGCGACTTACAGTTAGTGAGTGCATACATTTTCATACTGGCCCCCGTGGGAATGGAATCGAACCCACAACCCTGGCGTTGCAAGCGCCATGCTCTACCAACTGAGCTACACAGGGCCCTATATAAAGTGTATGCATATCAGATAGTGTATAAGAAGATAGCGAGTAGTTGACTGAGCTACATGAGTGAATATGCATACAAGTACAGTAGTACTGATATATCTGTGTGAGATTAAGTGAATTATGATTGCATGTGTTATGGAACAGTGTGTATACAATGACTGTGTGTACACTCGGTGGTATTTCTCTCCAGGAGAGGAAGTAGAGCTGGCCCAGTGCATCACCACACACTAGTTCACTGGAGCAGTGCGGGTTTACCTCCAAGACTAGAACAGGACCCACACAAACACACCTGTAGAGCGAGATACAGAGAGATAAAGTGTAAGCATACATGCATTGCTGTGACTACTCATCAATTCTTGATTAAATTATTTCAGTGTGTGGAAGTTGAAGAGTTAGAATGACATGCACCTGTTTCTTGGTATTTGTCCCACATTTTGACAGTTTTGACAGTTCTGTCATGGGACGCCAAGATGATTGTGCTGTTTGTGAATTGCAGTACACTGATCCTGTCACTGTGTGCCTAGGGAAAATCCATCCAAATCATCATCACTGAAAAAAAGAAATCAGTTTCATCAGAGGAAAAGAGAGACAACTTAAAGGTTTCCTGCTGCTCCAGGAGTTGACATTTGGTGGCTGGTTGAACCACGTTTCCCTTGGAATCTCCACACACACCCAACTCTGGAGCCAGGACACAGAATAACGATCCAGTTAATAAACTATTCATATAACTTGTTTACAGAAGATTCACAAGATGTATCAAACAGGGTATGAGTATGTGAGCGTCATTGTACTGCAGTGCAGTTTCCTTTCTCCACAGTCACTGCAGTTATACAGCCACCTTTTCCCTCACTAGTCTCGTCCATTTCTAGCTCAATGTCACCACATGAAGACGACAGGTCAGTCTTTGGGCCCATGGCGTACTAGGGAAGGCAGATATTATCATCCACTAATATAACTAATATCAAAACAATAATCCAAACACCAGCAGTGTGGTCATTGAGAATGATGATGATGATGATGATGATGATGCATGAGTTGGTGATAATGATTGTGGTAAACAGGGGTGGACTGGGCATCTGGTATTTCATGGAAATGCCAGAAAAGCTGGTCCATTTTTTTTGCAGTGGGCCTGTCTAACTAGTTTTTTTTGTGTGCAAAATGATCATGATCTCGCTACTAATTGGGGCCTCAAGGAAAAAAATTGGCCTGTGTGGGGACCTCAAGGGGGAAAGAATTGCAGGTGTTGCGGCCTCTGGGAAAAAATTGTCCGGTGTGTTAAAAATGCCAGGGCCGAATTCTGATCCCAGTCCGCCCTTGGTGGTAAACTCACCAAGAAGCCAAGCACAACCTGTCCTTTCTTCTCGCCCAGCAGTCAAGTGCTTTTTTCATCATTGGCCACCATTCCAAGAATTTGCGTGTCATCCTTCGAACTGCAATTTAATCAGTTATATACATACAAGTCAGTATTTATTAGTCTAGATCTGGTGTACCAAGTAATAATGTGTGTGTGTACCGTGTGTGTGTCCAGGACTGGCCCGCCCATTAGGCAGGATTAGGCGGCCACCTATGGCGGAAGATTGACGAGGGCAGCATTTTCCAAGCTAATCAGGCCAAGACGCACCTCCAACAACACGTAAAACCTCACATAATTCTGCCCCAAAACAATGACAATTTCTCTCAACCAGTGGCATATGGGCTTTTCAGGTGAACGCTAATGCCTTCCTGTGATAAGCAGTACCCACTTTGTCAAAGGCAGGGGAGCAAAATATTGGTCTTGTCTATTCCCAGCATGCGTCTCCAGAGTGCTGTTGGAGAGACCGCTGCGGCGCTCCACCACCGTTCCGTCATCTAACATAAATCCTGTAGCAGATATATCCTAAAGAGTATGTTAACTTTTACGTAACCTACAGGCTGGAGATAAAATATATGACAATGTAATGAGGCGGACACTTTTTACATCATGCACGTTTCTCAGATCAAATAGCCTAACCTAAATGGCGCCCAATCAAATAAAAAATGCACTGACATGTTAACAAACACCATATCCTAAAAACAGGACAGGTCAAAATAAAATGGACAATTTGGAATGGACAATCAGGCGACTCACAACTGCTGTCCAAGAGTTTAACCCTGTGGGCTAAATTATCATGATCAGTGGATTCAAGTTTTTATCTTTACATTTTTTACGAGCTGATCATAGCGAAAAAGAAAATACTTCTCAATTTCCTGCTGTGTAAACACATTGATTCTCATTGCAAATAGGTTCAGGATAACTCCTGATAAAGTTGGGTAGCTGATATTCAGAGCTTAAAATAACCAAATTGATTAGTCACAGGAATCAGGACTAATACAGCCAATGCAACTGCCTGTTTTATAAACGGTAGGGCTACCACATGGATGGGCATACATACAATTCCATTGCGGGCCGACACTGTAAGCTACACCCTAGTAAGCAAGGACCGACGCTGACGTCTTTTGGAAGTCTGTTTTTAGTCTTGTCCAGACCGGTTTCTTTTTTTGGTGTTTTACAAACAGTAGGCCTACCACATGGATGGGCATTCCATTCCATTGCAGACCGAACACTGTGAGACGTCTATATTTGGTTCAGATTTGGTCCATTTATGTTTGGTTCAGATTTGGTCCGGTCTGGACCGGCCTTGATTTAGTACAAACATACACTATATATACAAAAGTATGTGGACGCCCCTTCAAATTTGTGGATTTGGCTATTTCAGCCATACCCGTTGCTGACAGGTGTATAAAATCGAGCACACAGCACTGCAATCTCCATAGGAAAACATTGGCAGTAGAATGGCCTTACTGAAGAGCTCAGTGCATTTCAACGTGGCACTGTCATAGGATGCCACCTTTCCAACAAGTCAGTTCATCAAATTTCTGTCCCGCTAGAGCTGCTCCAGTCAACTGAACTGTTCGTCGGGAGCTTCATGAAATGGGTTTCCATGGCCGAGCAGCCGGTCACAAGCCTAAGATCACCATGTGCAATGCCAAGAGTCGGCAGGAGTGGTGTAAAGCTCGCCGCCATTGGACTCTGGAGCAGTGGAAACGCATTCTCTGGAGTGATGAATCACACTTCACCATCTGGCAGTCAGAGAGACAAATCTGGGTTTGGCGGATGCCAGAAGAACGCTACCTGCCCCAAAGCATAGTGCCAAATGTAAAGTTTGGTGGAGGAGGAATAATGGTCTGGGGCTGTTTTACATGGTTCGGGATAGGCCCCTTAGCTCCATTGAAAGGAAATCTTAAAGCTACAGCATACAATTACATTCTAGATGATTCTGTGCTTCCAACTTTGTGGCAACAGTTTGGGGAAGGCCATTTCCTGTTTCAGCATGACAATGCCCCCGTGCACAAAGCGAGGTTCATACAGAAATTGTTTGTCAAGATCGGTGTGGAAGAACTTGACTGGCCTGCACAGAGCACTGACCTCAACCCCATCTAACACCTTCGGGATGAATTGGAACGCCGACTGCGAGCCAGACCTAACCGCCCAACATCAGTGCCCGACCTCACTAATGCTCGTGGCTGAATGGAAGCAAGTCCCCGCAGCAATGTTCCAACATCTAGTGGAAAGCCTTCCCAGAAGAGTGGAGGCTGTTATAGCAGCAAAGGGGGACCAACTCCATATTAATGCCCATGATTTTGGAACGAGATGTTCGACGAGCAGGTGTCCACATACTTTTGATCATGTACTGTAGATGTCTATAAATTACGTATTTTCAACTTAAATTCAGAACAGAAAATTAACCCGATTTCAACGTCTGGAAAATACGTCTTATCAATG